ATCTTGTCAGTTGTAGGATCAAACTGACTGGCACGCCCGCATCTCATCAATCTTTGGACCTGCACAGGAGCTAAGCAGATCTCCCAGGCCGGTGTGTTTGATTTTTTTCGGTCAACAATGGGCTATAATGCTATCGATCTCTTGAGAGGAGAAAGGCAGCACTAAGTCATCCAAATCATCTCTTTTATCAAATAGTTCAGACAAATTGAAAAACATAGAGGGGGACTCTGAAACACCCAACCTGGATCTGTATGCTTCAAGAACAATGGCAGCTTTACCTTCATGATCAGTGACTTCAACTCCATCAGTAGAAGTAATCTGTGTGATTGTGTTTTTCCTAAACCTCTCAATGGCCATAGCATGGAAAAATTTGGTGTTTTCCCCACCAAATTGAGCCCAATTTTACCTGCATCTTTTCTTCCAGTAAGCATGCTTGTACTAAAGAAGAGTAACAACTTGTTTCTTAACAATATTTCTAAAAATGAGCTCCGGCACTGAAAGCAAACGACATTCTTCTACAATGTCCAAGAAGTGAATGACTTTGTGACAATTATCAATTAGCAAAGAGAGCTTTGAAAGCTGTTTACTCCAACATTTTAGATTTCTTCTGAGCTGTTTAAACTTGGCAGAAATAGCAAGAGCATTGTTATCATCATTCTGAACTGAATGCCAGGCATTGACCACTTGCTGGAGAAAACCATCATGCTGCACCCAGAAATTTTCAAATATGAAGACATTCTCTCTTGGGATGGAAGTCTGCACTTGAACCTTTAGTGGAACATGATCAGAGACATGCTTAGGCAGAGCCAAAGCCAGCGTGTTGGGGTATGTAATTGACCAATTTGGAGTAGTAAAAACCCAATCAAGCTGCTCCAGTAAGGGATTATCTTGCATGTTACTCCAAGTGAAAGATCTCCCCTTTAAAGGAACTTCAATCAGTCCCAGATTACTAATGAGATCATTAAACAGGAAGATATCATTCATATCACCACCCGGCCTGTTTCTGTTTTAAACTGATCTATAAAAGTTGAAATCACCCAAAAAGATCCAGTTTTCAGCAGAATCAATTTGAAGGTCATTCATCCAAGTAACAAACTCATCTCTTTGAGGCCCAGAGGATGGACAATAAACATTGACCAGGTGAAAAGAGTCAATATTGAAACTGGAAGAAAAATGCATGATAATAGAATGATCTGTTTGAGCCACTACATGGCCATTGAAATGAGCACTATTCCAGCCCACAAACAATCCCCCCGAGGCCCCCCTAGAAGGGGCAAAAGCGAACTTGTCAAAGCGTCTAGGGCAAAACTTTTTGACATAAGCCATATCAAAGACCTCTCTCTTAGTTTCCTGAAGACAAAAAAGAGAACAAGCGCTTTCCTCCACTTTCTGTCTAATAGCATTCCACTTTGCATCAGAGTTGATACCTCTAACATTCCAACACAAAAAATTCCAGTTTCTATGCAATCCATTCATTTAAAACAACGAATAAGAGATAGAGAAGTGGTAAATAACTAGTATATACCACAAAGACAATCACACAGGTGCAACCCCATATCCAAGGGACAAATCTGGGCCAGTGCATTATTACAATCCATAAAATTCTGGTCGCAACCAGATAAAGGACATGAAAAGTTTTCCCTATCATGGCAATTGAGTAGAAGTAGCAGCAGATCCACTCCCCATCCCAGCCGGAGTGGTCAGAACTTGAGTAGAAACTTCATTTTCCTTCAGCCCACAAAGATTAGTGCCCATAGTCTGCAACATCTGAATAGAGCATTCAATAGGAGGGCTCTCAGAGTCACTATTATCATCAGTCTCAAAGAACTCAGGAGGTAAAGGGTGGAGGGAGGAGATTATACCACTTTGTTCTGCCAGAAGCTTAAGCCTTTTAGCACTTTTCCCCCTGGGTTTACCAACCCCCTACTTGGGATCAGGAGACATGTAACCCCCTGTGAGCTTATTGATTCTGGAGTTTCTCCTACGATCAGTGTCCACAATTGCCACAATTTTAGCTTTAGTCTTTCTGGATTTCTTCAAAGATGGCAGGCAGGAAGAGGCACTTTGCTGGAATGGATCCTGAGGTAAAACTTGTTGTTCAGGGAGCACACAGGAAATGGGCTCAACCATTTCAGCATCTTCAATATGGGCCTCATTCATATACTCATGTCCCAAATCTCCCTCAGCCTGTTCAACCTCAGTTTCATTCCCAACCACCAGCAGAACAGCTGCTAAGAGGGCAAACTGAATAATATGGGTAACAGGGAAAGAGTAGGAAATAATTTGAAGCTCTTGGGATGGACCCACTGCCCTTGACCACTGAGGAGAAAGAGGCAACAGACTGAAAGCACTTGTAACTTGAGGTTTTGGCAAGTAATCTTCCCAGCTTGACAGAGCAGCATTCAGAGCGTTTAACATCTTCCAAAAAATGGATTAACCAGAAAGCGAGGCTATGTGAGTTGCTCAAGAGTAATTGAGCCCTGAGACTGCAGCATAACATTTTGATTTCCAGCCACCACAGAGACAGCACTAAGAGGCTGAGAATTTTGCTCAACAGCTGGAGCATCCTCTTCCATATTATCACCAAAAGCATCCACTTGTGGTGCCAGCAGCTGCACCGGATCAGGGATGGGAATATGATTCACTGGAGGTAAATCCTCATCCCCAGGCATAACATCAGGTAGTTCTTCATGGCATAGAAAGACTGAGACCGTCCAAGATCTTCCAACACCTCCGAAAGCAATGGCCCTTTTAACAACAATTCTTCTAGGGACCTCCAGAGTGGAAGAGTACAAAGCTTTTACCATTAATCTTCCCCTTACATTATCATCTAACTGAACTTTGATCACTTTCCCAAACAGAGAGACAGCTTTGTCAATAATAGCAGGAGTTTTGAAATCCAATGGGAAATCCAAAAACATTATCCATCCCTCTGAAGTGAAAGGGGAGTTGCGACAACTGGAAGTAAGGTCATGAGGAACAAAGCGAAGCATAAACTGATTATCCACTTCATAAGGACCCCCAGCTATTAGAGTGTCTCTAAGCAGAGCAGAAGCTACACGAACATACATGAACTCAATAGGGTGACGGCTAGCTTCTAACACATGATAGCCCAGCACATTCTGAACATAGTTAATCACCAGATGTCTGAAACCCTCATATTGCTCAGGAGTTGGTGGAGGTTCAATGCAAGCGACAGCCATACCTTCATTGCGCTTAGGGGGATCTTCCTGGAGGCAAAGATCAGCACGCTCAAGCTGATGATCCCAGGGCTCAAGGAGCTACAGCGTCGGAGGGAGAAAAAATGCAGGATCAAGGTTCACCACCGCCATTGGAGCACTCGGCGAAGAGGTCGAGAGCAAAAGAGGGACAGACTGCAACTGTTGAGAGGAAGAGGAAGGGCTTCCTTGATTTTTGAAGCAAATTATTTCTTTCCCTAAAACTGCCCTTTCCACAATAGACTTCTTAGCCGCAGGCATAGAATCCTTTTTGGGCCTCCAGACTTGGGCCTTCTTTTTGTTCCAACAGGCTAAAGCCCGGTGATCCAATTTGTGACAGGAAGCACATCTGACCCTATTAACACATTCAAATTCCCGATGGCCATGCATCAAGCAACGATCACAAAAAGAAGGGATCATAGGGCGTTTCAAAATTGCCATATCCTGATTAGCGGCCTTGAAAGGCGGATCACTAACCCCTGATCACGGGCCGGAGCTTTGCCGGCGGCGATCTCCGGAAATCGAAGACGATCAAAGACTGATTTAACAGGAACAACATTCAAGGACTCAGCATTGGAAATCGGACCCTTTGAAGAACCAGTTGTAGGGCGCTTGAAATTGCTAGACTTATTAACAGTTGAAACCTTTGGAGGATTAATCAACTTAGCAGTAGAAACTTTAGAAAGATTAAGCAACTTGGAAGAAGAAACTTTAGGAGGATTAATCGGCTTAACAGCAATAATAGTCTTAATAGAACTTTTTCAAGAATGGCTATGAAGAGAATCAAACTTCTTAGATTTCCTGGAGACTAGGGTCCATTCCGAATTCTGTTCAGCGCACTAGAGCATCCATTCTTTCTGCCAATTAGGGCCACCATCTCTCCAAAGATGGAACCGGGCATGAAAATCTTTGCAAATAAAAGAACGAAGATTATAGATCCAAATACCCACGGCCTTAGAGCAAACCAAAAATGAGTAACTCCGGTCCTTTTGATGACAAACAAATAGATCACCCGGAGAACCACCGATACAAGCTCTTAGGGCAATCCCAACAGATGAAGAGCACAATCGAAAAGAAGCCCGAGGAAAATCGACCACAAGCCGAAAAGGCCGACGGGAGAAGAAACGAGAGAAATGCACAGGAGAAGAGAACCTGCAGAAGACTTCATCACGAATCCGATCACCAGGGGTGAAGTCCCATCCCCCTAGAGGAGGCGGTGTAACCATGGTCGAAATCAGAGGACTCCATGGATCGCCTCAGGAATCGCCCGCACAAACCGGAGCTCCATCGACAGTTTTGCTGTTTTATTGCCAAAAAAGTTACCATTATTGTTGCTTCCTTGGAAATATGAGCGGGGCTGTTCCACCCTTGACCTCCTTGTGGACGGAACCCGTTGTTGTCGTTGCCCATGTACATCGTTTCCTCACGGGTTTCTGGGCAGTCGTTCCCAAAATGACCCGTGCTGCCGCAGACCTCACACTGACGTGTGAGTCCAAGGCCTTAACGGTGCCCTAGGGCTTCTTCTCGTGGTCATCCAAATGTTTCATAAGGAGGTCGAGCTATGCAACGAGCATCTCCGTCTCCTTGACGATGTGCATTCCTCGCTGACGGGTCTGGAGTCGTTCTTCGCTCCAGCCCATGTTAGAGACCATCTTCTCAATCAGATCGACGGCTCCTCTGACCGTCTTAGAGAAGAAGGCTCTTCCAGCTGCCACGTCTAGGTGGTCGCGGGACGTGGGAGTGAGCCCGTTGTAAAAGCTCTGGAGTATCAGCCATTCGTCCATCCCATGATGCGGGCAGGCAGCCACGTACTCCTGGAGTCGTTCCCATGCTTTGGGGATTAACTCGTCCCTTGTCTGCTGGAATACCGAAATTTTCCCGCGAAGGGCGTTGGTTTTGCCCATCGGGAAGAATTTGGACAAAAATGTCGTAGAGCACATGTCCCAAGTATTGATAGTAGCACGGTTGGCATAGGACCACTGCTTCACCTTCCCTAGAAGGGAGAAGGGAAATAGCCGGATCCTGACGGCATCCGGACTGACACCTTTCACGGTGTACGTGCTACATATCTCCAGGAACTGTTGCAGGTGCACACTGGCATTTTCATTAGGCTTGCCGCAGAACGAGCTAGCCTGCGCCATCGTGATGAGGCTCGACTTCAGATCGAAATCTGTGTCTCCCAAGTTGATTTGTGGCCCAATGAGCACGTTTTCAGCTGAGGGGGCAGCGAACTCGCGAATGGTCTTCTCGGCCATTGTCTTGAAGCTCGGTGATGCTGGGATGGCTAGTTTCTTTGTCGGAAGAGTTTTTTGCGGAGCGACGACTCGCGTCTTAACGCTCTGGAAGAAAACTTCTGGATTTTCTTTGATGTTTCCCGGCAAATTGAAACCAGTCATACACTACCCTGTTTTTACAACAAAAGTGAAAACAACCAAGATTAGCCTGCAAAGGACAGTGACTATACGGAGGTAAATATAAAGTATTAGCTTATAGTAATCTTTTTTATAAATCTTCCCTGGCAACGGCGCTAGAAATGTGTGTTGGTATTTCTTAACGACATTACTAGAAATATAATTCCCAGCAATGGCACAGAAACACTCTTGGTATATTATGGTTACAGATTTCATCCGCAAGCGCACTGATATACCATTGTAGCATTTCACCCGAGAGTATTCTATGGGTATCGTATTTGTTTAATCCCGTGGAAAAATTATAATAGAGAACCAAGCGAGTATTTATATGTTACTTCTAATAATCAAAATCTAAGCAGGGGTTAGTTCAATTCAAAAGGGTAGGGTGACACTAAGCATAAGCATTCACTATTCTCATACATATTGATTCTAGGCTAAGTGGAAAGAATAAGAAAAGAGTCATTTTCTATACTTCTAATATACATACATACAATTTGGTCACTATTATCTACTATATGTGCAATTAATTATTTTTTAGCCTATATTTAATACTTCATGCAGGTGTTCAAACGTTCGATATGACAGGGTGTAAAAATTTGGGGTGGGATCTAAACACCCCCTAAACACAGCCTAAATATCATGGCAACACACTACTACACCTGATGAGCTTGTGGTGAAGTAGGCCGGTGCACACGTCGAGGCGTTGCCGCTGCTGAAAAACATATTTTTAGGGATCGGGATCAGGTGCAGTCCCTATAGCGACTGCAACTTTGGCCATAGGGTGATCCACAACGACTGCACCTGATCCCAATCCCAGTAGGAACAATGTTCTTGGCGCACCAAGCCAGGACAACAATCTTATCGGGGCATGGGGTGAGCGAGGAGGGGTGCCACGTAGGATAGCAATATGGGAATTATTAAGCTTCGCGCGTGGGGCGAGCGAGGAGGGGTGCCACGTAGGATAGCAATATTGTACGGGTTGGAGATTTTGCGAAAAAGCCCTCTGGTTTATTCGTAATTTGTCATTGGTCCCTCCAGAACAGTAACTCTGAAACTTTTTTTTGCTTGAAAGTCGTTCACAAATCCGTATATTTCATGGGAAGGAGAGGAAAATCAAGAGTTAGGATGGCGCTATAAAAATAGAAAGACGAGAGGCTTTTTTGCAAAACGACGGCCACTAACCCTACCGCCCCAAACCCTAGACTCCCATCGGATGGCCTAATCAGCCAAAGAAAAAGCCAAATTTTAAATTTTCAAACTTAATTTTGAGACTGATTTTGAGATATTTTCTGCTTTTAAATCATCAAGAACACATTTATAAAAGTTCCATCTACAGATTTATTTTTATTTCCTAATAAACCAATCGATGGGGACCCTAGCCGGCGCCGTCCCCAAACCCCGTTTCGTCTCTCCCTCTCCCTCTCCCGCCGTCGCCGCCACGCGCCGCCGCCTCCGCTTCCCCCTCGCGCCGCCGCGGCCGCGCCCACCACCGCTGCGGTGGTCGCCCCCTTCTCCGTTTCGTCTCTCCCTCACCCTCTCCCGCAGTCGCCGCCACTCGCCGCCGCCTCCGCCTCCCCCTCGCGCCGCCGCGGCGGCCGCGCCCACCACCTCCGCCGGCGCCGCGTCCACCTCCGTCTTCGTGCGCCGCGCCACCGCCTCCGCCGCCGCCGTCACCGTCACCGTCGCCATGGGTAAGCTACAACAGCCCGTTGCTGATGCTTGTTCTTCTCTCTCCCGCTCGCCTGTGGATCTAACCGTGCGTGTGAATGGTGGGGTCGTGCAGCCCGGATCAAGGTCGACGTGCTTCGGGGGAGGAACAAGGCGGAGCTGCAGGCCCAGCTCAAGGACCTCAAGGCGGAACTCTCCGTCCTCCGCGTCGCCAGGGTCACCGGCGGCGCCCCCAACAAGCTCTCCAATATGTACGCGCTTTGTTCTCTCTCAATCTCTCTATCTCTGTGTGCCTTGCGATTCGAAATCGAACTGAAGCGAATCGAATCTGTGGGGGGTTTCGTTTTGCAGCAAGGTGGTGCGCACATCGATCGCGCGCATGCTGACGGTGATCTCGTAGAAGCAGAGGACGGCGCTGCGTGAGGCGTACAAGAAGAAGAAGAAGAGCCTCCTCCCACTCGACCTCCGCCCCAAGAAAACCTGCGCCATCCGCCGCCGCCTCACGAAGCACCAGGTATAGATAACACTGTGCACAGCTACTACTGATATCAAAACCTCATGCTGGTAGAGCCTAGAGATTCAGATGGTGTTATCTTCCTTCTATCTTTTAGCTTAACCTGGGTGGTTTTGTATTTTTGTATGAAATGTGTACTACCATTGGAGTAGATAACTTAGTTTGTTAATGCAGTGAATTGGACTGTACTGCTATATCTGCATGCTACACCATTTTTGTTAATTCTATTAGCAACATCATTTTGTTAACTGCACGAGGCTTCATTATTGTCGGTTGCTTTTGATTGTTAGATTGTACAAATGTTTTGCATGGTATGTTACTGTTGATTTCATTATAGTCCTTGCTATAAAATTGTAGCCCGGCGCTGCTGCATGATTGGATGTATCGGATAGAAACGGAGTTGGTTCTGATGATTTAGGTGACGACCTGATCTAATTGCACGATTTTTTGATGATTTTTTCCTGTTGATTATTGTCGCAGCATTTTCACAAACACTCTTGTGGTGTAGATCTTGAGCCGTCTTTTGCACTGAACCTGTTTCTGGGTGGGTATTCAATTAGTGACCCAGGCAAAGGTATGGCTTACATCTGAATAGAGATTATCTATCTGTAACCTGTTGATCGTAACAACGTCTGTTGGTTTCTGCAAAGGGAATGCTTCTGTTTCTGATTGGTGATGATCCACAGAAGAGGCCGTACAGCAAGGCATCTCAAGCTCTGTTTTCTGTAAGTGTGATTCTTATTATGTAATTTATTGCACAATTTTGCACATGTGGCCATCTTTTGATGATGTGATCAGAGAGAACCGGTAGTTATGTATACATTTCTTAGAACCACATGCCCTTTTTTTTGAAAAAAAACTGAAGTCATGGGTTCTGCCAATCATGTATAGAATCATCATGCATTTTATTTCTTTGCTGGTGATTTTTGGGAACCAAGTAGCTCTATTGCAATTCTATTTGAGCCAAAAGATTCTATCCTTAACAAAATTATTCCCAATCTACTATAGATTTCGTAATTGTCTAATGTATTGTTACAGGATATTGAGCATGGCTGCTTGCCTCAAGTCGTCTTGGGCGACGTGCCTTGCAAATTTAGAAACGGGACTATTGTGTGTGAGGTTAGCTAAAGTCATACTCTAATTTTGCAGCTTTGACATATGTTGTATTTCTGCTCAGGTATCTTCTCCTTAAACAGGTGTTCCTTGCCTTATTTGTTTGCAGGTAACCCAGCAGCACTGCCACAGCAAGTCAGCATGTGGGGATGAAGACCTTAGTGTGCTGCTCGGCGGCGGCTGCAGGGCTTCGTCTGTTCGTCATTGACATGGACTTAGTGAGCCTGAAATCTCAATTCCCCCTCTTTTTCTTGCTCATTTTTCTACATATCTTTGTGTGCTCATGTTATTCTTGTATTGATCCTTATCTTATTTCACCGTGTGCATTAGCTTATTTCGGTTCCTATTTCTCAAGTGCATGGGTCGGCGTAGTACTAGATGTGGTTGGTAGTTTTTGTTGGATTAATGGCAACTGCTGTATGTCGAGAATGGCGCAATATTATGTCCACTTTGAAAGGGAATACTCTTGTCGGCTTCTTGTATACTTTTTGTGCTCCCAACTTCTTCTTCTTCTTCTTTTTGGTCAGACCACTATTCTGAACATATTCTGCTACTTTCTGAATTTACAGATAAAATATTGGATGTGCAGTTGGTCCAGTTTCAGAGGATGATGATCAATTTACAGAAGGTTTTGACAGGTTACCTCATGTTATCCTAGAAGGAGGTTAGTATTTGAGTAACAGAAAGTAGAAGTGCAGTGGTTATGCGGCTATTTCAAAATCCGCTGAAGGAAATAGCAACATTGCAAAGTGGTACAATCGGTGCTACCTGATGCCAAAACCTATATACACAGGAAATAGCAACACTAAGTACCAGTAATTTTAATTGTAGCTGGACAGAGCAAAATTTTGGTTAGGTATAGCATACATAATAAATTAAATATATCTTTGCCACTTAAACCTATATACACAGGCAACTTTTTTTACTTTTTCATTTCCAAAGGTTTGCTTCTGTGTTAAACTTAGTGTTTTTTTATCAAACTATGCAAGCTGAACGAGTGTAAGGATATTTTTGAGCCTTTGTATAGTTTTATTTATGATCTAGGCGCACCTACTTGAAGCCACATCTATCTTGAACTTTTTTAAACCACTCATTTAATTTTTATTTCTGGCTAGAACATTGATATAACCTTTTGTTGTATAGGTTGCCATTCTTGACAGTGTGACCATGAGTGGTAGCAGAGATGTTTCCATTCCTATAGCGTTTTGCATTGCCACTAAGAACAGTATGTAATTTTTTCCTTGGTTTATTTTTTGTGCTATTGGTCTGTTAATAGGTGCATCCTAAGATGAGAAAATACTTTCTGGATTATCTCCTGATCTGTTTTGTCACAATTGTCCATCGAGCAGGAGTGCACTTAGTTCAGTTTGTTCTTTTAGGATATTACATGTTAACCTTTGAAATCTAAACTTTGGATGGAGAGTTTGACATGTTTCAGGTTATACTACCAACCAGGTTATAGGTTAGAATAGGATTGGTAAGTTATATTTATAAATATTTGTGCCTTTTACTTACATTTTGAGGTATAGATATGTGTGCCAATTAAGAGATACTACCTCCGTTTTTTAATAGATGATACTGTTGACTTTTTGTTGCACGTTTGACCATTCGTCTTATTCAAAAAATGTACGTAATTATAATTTATTTTGTTACGAGTTGTTTTATCACTCAAAATACTTTAAGCATGATTTATATCTGGCATTTGCAAAAAAAAAATTGAATGAGACGAATGGTCAAATGTGCGACAAAAAGTCAACGGCGTCATCTATTAAAAAAACGGAGAGTATGTACCTGCATGCAGACTAACACTATATACATCTCTGTACCTCACAACGATCAGAAAAATCTTACCGGTGCTAATAATAAACTTGTTTTCTAACCAATTTAACCGGATTAATTTTTTTATCTCTTAAATTATGAGGAGGTATATATATTCCTCTCGAAGGATGGGAGACAACCACGGATAAAAAAATAGTAAAGATCGTTTGGTTGATAAAAAAATATGTAATGATCTAGATTGTTTCTATCACCACAAAAGATATCTTAAAAAATATCAACAAATGTATGCATGCATTAATATGACATCCTTAGTATTTGCGTGGTTAACAACATGACAATCTTAGCTATTAAACTATAGCGCATGTGTACATCCACCTGCATGTAGAGGCTGGGTTTTTTAATCCATTATCTAAAAAAGCTATTAAACTATAGGTTACTAGCCACACTTAAATGGAGGCTTCAATCTACATATATAGCTATTTGCTTTCAGTTTTGTAGTGACCTATCAGAAATAGTGTATAACTTACCCAGAGGTGTTATAGCCCTCAAAACTATTTCATCTACTGACTGGATTTTGTGCATGATCTTGCAACTCATAACTTTATTTTTCCATTGTGCCATGCCAAACATCTAAATCCATTAAAATTGTAGAGAATGCAAAAGAGTGACAAACATTGCATGACGAAAGGAAGTGGTTTGAATAAACTGTCAAATATTTGTGTTACCCAAGTGCAAATATGGTATTATCTTCTTTTCAAACATATATTTACTATCAGGTTTGGTACTTTCTCTGGAACTTTTGGTTGGCACTGTTGGGTCATGCACAGCCTGTTGCTTGTCTAAAAGATTAATTAGGTCATGTTTATTCCATGTGGCTATGTAGGCTGGAATGCATATCAATTATAATTTATCCATAGTTTACATGGCCTATCCATCTTCTGCGTATTTATTATGCAAGTAAATCATGACAAGAAGATATAAGATCCATGCACCATTCCTATGTCTGAGCTTAAACTTGTTCCATGTCTATTTGTACAAGGCCATGCACACATGTTTCTCAATTAAATTTTTAGAGTTAGTAGGTTTGTGCAAATATGTATTTAATCATGCAGTTTTCATACTATACTAAATAAAGAAATTTGTTGAATATGTATATATTACTACCTCCGTCCCATAAAAATTGCATTTCTAGCTAATTTAGGACAAAATAGTAGGATTGGAAAATGACCACAATAACCTTATTTAATGAACCCACTGCATGCACACATTCCATATATACACAAATGATTAAAAGGAAGTTTGAGAGAATTAACCCATATAATTAGCATACTTAATAAAATTACAAGCATTAGCAGCCCAAATTACGTGGGATGGAAGGAATGAATCAATTGGTTGGGCCCCACATGGCTAGAAATACAATTTTTATGGGACAAAGCCTTGGAGCTAGAAATGCAATTTTTATGGGATGGAGGGAGTATTCCTTTTCTAGGAAACATGTTCCTTGACTGCTTTCTAAAAATATTATTTAACCTGTCGCTATTATTGATTAGCTTTTATTGCAATTCTTATAGATCCTACATTGTTCTGCTTCATATCTTCCACGCTCATTGCAAGTATTAAGGAATGATTGCAGGTGAGCATCTGTTATGTATTCCCTTACCCAGAGTTTCGGTGGTGATGTTTCGACCACTCTTTCTAATGATATAATTGTTGGTGAGTTGTTGAGTTACAGAAAGGCCCTATAAGTAACTAATACATTCTATTTGGACCTGGCCACAAAGGATCTTTTGGAATAAAGGGCTGAAGAGGCCACAAACTCATGCAGAGCATGCCATTTCCAGCCATAAGCTTCTTTCAAGTTTCAAGTAGTGAAAGGATTCTTCATGCATCTATCATGAAAGATATAAGTAGGTACTACACTCCGCAAACATGCACTTTTTGTTGTTTAAGTAAGCCAGGCGGTAGTTTCAGTTGTGGTGCATGGAAGCCCCATATATATTTTTTCACAGTATATATCTATACATGTGACCCCTTCTACCATCTAATTGCTCCAGTTAAATTCCTCTAATCATTTTATTCACAGATGACGTTGCAGATCATTACAAGAATGCATCAATGATGTACAAAGCTAGCTATTTCAAAGGGATAGTACCATTATAATGAATATTGTGGTTGCTAATAGATATTTAGGTATGCCAAATTAATAAGTCGGTGTGTGTAGTGTCAGGCTGCTATATTTTGGAGATCAATCATTCCGAGGTTGCCTTTGTTCCAAATTCTATTGCGTTCGATTGAGATTTGCAGCGCACACGAAACGAGAAAGCTCATTAGCACATGATTAATTAAGGATTACCTATTATAAACTTGAAAATGGATTGATTTGACTTTTTAAGCTACTTCTATATAGATTATTCTTTTTTGCAGAATATGCACTGTTTAGCTGTTTGAAAAGCATTCAGACTGAGCCATTAAACAAAATACACTTATGTTCTGCATGGTTATCAATGGTTGACAATATATACTTCCATGATTTGGTTTTTGTTTGTGTAAATGAAATCATATAGGTACTATAGGAATGCAATTATCTGCTCACTGACTTGGCATAGTTTCTATTTCTATAAGATGTGTTCCTTTGTTCTTTTTTACGTTAAAATGACAGAAATCAAATTTGGTGGAAATGCTGCATTTATTCCATGGTAATTTATATCTATCTACTTTTTGGAGATCTCAATAAATATTGAGAATGTTCTTAGCTGCGGTATTTTGTTACAATATTTTCTAATATTTTGTTGATTCATGAGAAGGTGTTGTTATAACAATATTCATATTTATTCAAACATCATGGTCGATTAGTTGGATAATGGAAATTGAGTCAAGGATTGGAAATTATCACTTGGTCACTTAGATATGTGACACGATGTGTTTTTTTACTCCAGAGGCTGAATTAACAAATGTGCTTTCTTATTGTACTGATGCCATGACAATCGTTTTTAAATTTGTTGAAGGCAAGTGTTCCTGATGGGGAGATTTCAAGAAACTTTTCTTGCATAAAGATCGGCGGACTCTTTCTGAGGTACTATATGTTAAGTGTATCCTTGAGTCCTTATTACTGGAGATTATATGCACCGTCTAATTCATCGTAATTCACTTGCTTAGTTACAGTACATACTAAATTCAGTGCATTGTTTTGATGCCTATAAGTATCACATACGTTAAGCCCAACAGAATTTAGTTTAGTGCACTGCTAGGTTAGCAAGATGCATATGGTGCAAAATAGGATACATTAACAGTTTAACTTTTCTTAAGTAAGGGAATTTGTGTTCTACCTGTGGTAGAGTTTTTGTTTGAGCTATCAAAGTAATTGAAGAACCTCTGTTCGATCCTCATGTACTGATATGTTATTTCTCCAGGGACACATTTTCTCCGCCACCATGCACATTGACACAGCCCTCTATGCAATCTGTTCCACAAGAACCTCCACCTGTGTCTGACTTTGGTAAGACTTCATGATACCTTTGCTGAGATAAATGAATTGGTCAAGTCTAACGCTTCCTATTGAATTGCCAGGTCAAAATTTTTGTCCTCAAATCTATCCATTTGAGAATCAACTATTGAGATTCACGTCAGGAACTCCTTTTATGTTCCCTCTATTGTCTTCAGCTCACTCCTTCCCCATTACCTCCAAAGTTTGCTTGAAAAACTATCATCATATGTGAACCTCGTATGGTGTGTCTCCTTAACACTAATAGCAAAGTAATACTCACGACATCTATATGCCATGGGAGAGCAACACGACCTATGTGTTCCTAAAAACTCAGGTAACCGTACCATCCATTTCCACACTAACCATTTATAACTGCATTTCGAATTACTCTTCTTTTTAATTGCTCCATCCTTATAAAATTGTAGTGATTTTGGTTTGGGTTAATTGGTGTCAATTTTTTTTGAACTTATAGCTGTATTTTGATTTTCGAATTACTCTTTTTATCAGCTGAAGGCATTTTTCATTGGATATTGTCTGGTAAGGATGAAGCTAATCAGCAAATATAATTGATTAGCAGAGTATCTGCAAAATTATCTTGAGCTTTTTTTGTGCTGGTAAGTTATATATCTCAAAACAATTTTCACATGTACGATAAGTGATGCTGCTTCTGTTTTTTTTTTTGGAATGATTATGCAATTTGGAGTTTAAACTCTTTTTATTAACTACAGAATGCAGCTGTGTGCATGAAGCTTATTTGCATTTGTGTGTTTTCCCTCTTTAGTTTTGACCATCTCCTGAAAAATATTTCTTCGCATATTGGGTTACGAACCAAGGTTGTTGCTACTAGGTGCTGATATTTTCATCCAGGTTGCTTACCCAAGAATAACAAAGTATGTACCATGATCCTTTTTATGTCCCGTTTCCATTATAAACCATGTCATGTATCCCTCCATAATTGACAATGCAACTTGTATGATTAGACAAACTGATACTGTGATGCATCCATTTCTCAAAGTTGCTATTTGGTAATCTTATTTGTATGAATATTTTTTTTAATTTGATTTTTTTTTTGTAATACCTGTTTTTCATTTGTCGCAATGGTTTCTCTTACTAACCAGATGAAATCACATGGAGTTTGCATCTGCATAGCTATACAGTCCCTGTTAAATGTTTTAAAGAGTAGTATCCATGTACAAATTTATCATCTAACCTTTTCTGTATGATTACCAATTTAACAGGCAAATGTGATGAGTTCTACTGCGAGATCTAAAACTGTTGTTTCTGAAAAGAAACCCCTCATCAAATTCGCTCTGAATGTTCCAAGGGTTGCACAAACAGAAGCCCTTCCTGGATTTACTAAACTGCTTGCAGCGAAACAAGACAAATGGATTTTACTAAACTGCTTGTCGTCCATGGGTTGCACAAACAGAAGCTTTTACTGAACTGCTTGCAGCGAAACAAGACAAATGGATTTTACTAAACTGCTTGTCGTCCATGCTGCGTTTGTTTGTACATATGAGACAACATCTATATATCTGCTCCTTTACAGACTGCTGCCTGTAAATTTATCTATATGTAATGAACCTATCTATCACTATCCGCCTTGTTAGTTCTCTCTTGTGTGCTTGATATTTGGTTTTCTATTCTTCCCCTATTGTTGTGCCCTAGCTGTCTACAGGCGGCGCGCCATTGGCGCGTCCCACCATCTAGTAATATCAATAGTCAATACAGACAGGGACAGCCTGTTATCAGGCACTATCATCCGTACATTGCTCGTGCAGATCCTTGAGGGTTTAGCATAACCGTATCTTTTATATTGTGTTACCAAAGCTGTTCAGCTCCACTACTGAGGTATTGCGTTTATGCATGGTTTGTTCTTTGAAACTTGCTATTAAGATAACTGCACAAGTGTGTATATCATGTCACTATACACCCGTAGTGAAATGAGGAATTAAATTAAATTACAAGACACTGTGTTAAGTCTCTGGTTAGTTTGGGTTGCCGTTCAGTTGCACCTTGATCCTTGTGTTGATGGTACCGTATCCAGTGGCTCTTCACCTCTTGAGGACATAATGGTGAACGCTAGTCAGATAAATGTCTGTAACAAACCGTTTACTATGAAGCCCACAGATTGCCATGTGAGATGATCTCGAGTCCAATTATTGTAATCGATGTGGACTGTCCTGCAACTCTAATGTGAGGTGGGCTTGTATATTTGTATCAGGTGGGCTTGTATATTTGTATCGGATTCTTCTTTCAAAGTAATCAAGTATCAAAAGGATCTGTCCATTCTTCATCTTCCCTTACAGCTCTGTTCCAGCGCTCTTTAAACTTCTCCAGCTCAGCAGACGATTGTCTTCTAATCTATTGAAACAAGAGTAACATGATTGAAATTAAAAGTATACAAAGACCGAATTGTTATACTGGTCTAACAAGAGACCATAAAATTATACTCACGTGGGTCCGTAAATCCAGAGATCTCCGAGGGGTCTGTAGTGAGAAAACTAGGTCAGTAACAGTATGTATAGCCTTCATTCTTGAGCCTTGATAAAGGTGATAAACTAATATTATAATCTTGCAGGCATATGCCAAACAAATTTCTATTTTTATTTTAAAACACTCTAGGTTAAAGAAGATGACAGTAAGAAGCCCTAAAATCTAAGTTTTGTTTTTCATGGAATAGAAATTATCATCAAATAGGGCATCTCAAGTCTGCCTGGATGCTCCTGTCTTCTGAGTCTGGAAATGTTTAATCTGTAATGTACTAATGTCAGGTCCAGCTTAGCATTTTTGTGGTCTTGGAGATGAAAATTACAATTAAAAAAATAAAAATATATGATGCTACATCAAAATGTACCATAATGTTTGGAATGTAAGACATGATCATATGTTGTACAAATGTAAGGAATAGGTGCATCATTTTACTTTCAAAAGTACCAATTTGTGACGACAAACAGACCTTACTGCTTAGTGATGGTCCTCCTAACGATGGTATTCCTTGATGAACAACATACTCACTGTCGATTACGCCAACCTTCTCAGCTCGATCACCCTGAAATCCCATGGCGCTACATTCATTAATATTTTGGTTACTTTCATTCTCAATCAACATATGCTATGTAAAACAAAAATGAATCTTCATCAATGATGAGATGATAGATCAAACATCGGCGAAATTTGAGCAATAAAGTAGCAACAAAGCCACATGATACATAAGAAAAAGAAGATAACATGACAGGAACTATTAAACCGAGGACCAAAAAGACACCTAACTACACAATTTTAGAAATTCGAGGGTTGATGCAGATGCTTTCACAGGTCATAGTAAGGTGTATTAGTAGAGGGTGTAATTTAGTAGCTCATGAGTTAGTGCAAAGCTAGAAGGGCTAGGCATTGTGCGTTTTGGAGATTGCAAGCTCCAACTTATACTCAATCCCTTGTCAATTGTGAACTCCTAGCTAATTAATAAAGCACCTTCCTCCAAAAAAAACACCTAACTGGAATTCGGTGGATTGTGGCTTCTTACACATCTCACAGGTGAAAAACCTTTTTACAAGCGATGGTGGATATAAACAATAAATGAACAAACATTGTCAGGCCATCTTGTACTATCAGTGAATGCCTTTAACAGGATGTCCTAGAAAATAACAAAAAAGAAATCAAACAGTTCATGATTCTTGCATAGAGCTGTAGTGCATGATTGTGTATTATCTTGAGTACCTGAGCACAATAACCAAGCTTCATGTCAAGGCCCCATCCATGGATCAGGTCATTCTGCGTCAAGAAAAGAGTTACAACATTTCAGTCAACATCAATATAATCAGATGGCAGGGTAAATTGAGACTGCACTATCAGAATTTGCACCTGAATCAAATGCCATACACATCTCCAAGCAGCCCGAGAAAAAACAGGTGCCATGCCCTCAACCCACCTATCCAAGAAAGAAAAGTACAATATTCTCAAACATTCATTCAACCCATGATCTGGCGGTTACTAAATATTAGAAAAATAAATTGTGTCAAGATTTAAAATAAAGAAGGGCAGATAACCAGATAAACTCTAGGCCAACGAACAAAACAGCAACAGCAAAATATGACTTGGAATAGAATCAAAAGTAAGCTCATGAGGCTAAACAATCTTTACCCTGTGCATGGAGGTCCTTTACTTCCATCAGAACAATTCATACTTGCACGGTTATCATATATTCTCCTAAATAATCATTAAAAAAGAATGGTGCATTTATTAGCAAAAACAAATGACGTTTTGAGATGTGAAAAAATTGAAAATTACAAAGACATGGCACCTATGCACTTTCATCATCTTGTTGCGGATTGTGATCCGATGGTGAATATCAGTCGATAGATCAGGGTCCAGAGCAGGTTGTGTAATTTCCAATCCTTCAGAAACCATTATATCAAGATATCTAGGAAGAGAACATGCAAATGAGAAGGCACTTTCAGCACAAAAAGAGGAGCAATATACTACGGATACAAGAACATCAATGACCAAAGTAAGTAAAGATCTAGCATAGTAGGAGCCTCTCCTACTGTTTTACGTCAAAAAAAAGTAAGTAAAGATCGCTCCACCAAAATATATATATCATCAACAACAAACTCCGTCCCAAAACCTCATGCAAAAGGCTAAAAAAGAAAAATACACTCTTCCATCTGAATAAATGCTACTCCCTCCGTTTCACAATATAAGACTTTCTAGCATTGCCCACATTCATATAGATATTAATGAATCTAGACATATATCCCACATTCATACAGATGTTATGTCCAGATTCATTAACATCTATATGAATGTGGGCAATGCTAGAAAGTCTTACATTTTGAAACGGAGGAAGTAGTAGATTTGTAAGCTACCAACATATTGGCTGATCAGATTTTGGTCTATATACAGTGACAGGAAGAGCTAGTATAGCTGACTAATTACTACTCCCTCTGTCCCAAAATATTGCAACCTAGGATGGGCCTGGGATCAGACCCATCCTAGTAATACGAATCTGATTAGGTGTCAATTTTTCCATTCCATCATCGCAAGGATTAGGTGTCACAACTCACAGGAGTCGTATCAACAACAAACGCTGCCCACGTTTCAGCAGCATGTCTCATCTACGAATCTTTGTCCAGATTCGTAGTAGACCCATCCTAGGTTGCAATATTTTGGAACGGAGGGAGTAGCATAGTAGCATTAGCATGTAAGATGCCGAGATTAGAACATGAACACAGGAGAAAGGTCAACACATGTTAAATTTCATAAATCGGCAAATGTGCTGCCCAAGGTATCAATGTTGTTCAACAAAACACAGGTTTTAGACTTTAGAGCTCAGGAATTTCACGTGAACCGTTTCATTTCCCACGGGAAACTGAAAAAGGCCCCCACAATCTGTACAGGGGCTAAGAGTTCGCAGGACAAACTATTGAATCATAAGCAAAATTTCAGTTCCCTGCAGCACATAACATGAAAGCATATGAAACTTCAAATTGACTGAACTAAGTACACTAGCAAAGAGGTGCTGATATCAAGATCTTGGATGGTGAGATGGTATGTTTTACTTCATACTGAGCACTGAATAACATATCTGCCTAGAGCAGAAGGCCTACAACCTGGGCCATACCTTCTCGGGTCAAAGTTGTCCACTCCAAGGTCTTCATCCCATAAAAAGATAAAACCGTAGATAGCCACAACATCAGGATGTAGAAAGCGCTTAGCAAACCACCTGCAGCAGGAACATATGCTTGCTTTGGAAGTGGGAAAATCTAATGAAATGGAACATTGCACTATTTTAGCAAAGGACTATTACATCTTGTATATATTGAAGAATGGGGACGCTCAATACTACACTTTTGAGGAAAGGGAATATATATCTAATTACCATAAAAAGTAAAGCAATGGAATGCAAGCTACGTGGGAATTACCACTTTGTTTGGTTACGAGCAAGTATGTGTATGGCCTTATCACTCCACTCAAGATTGTGCCATCCATCTACATTCCCGTCATAATGGAAGAGCATGACTGTGTAGTTTTGGTTAAGAAACTAAACAAGTAAATGGTTAAAACCATATTAGAATAGGTAATTTTTTTTACCAAACAACATAAATAAGAAAAAACAATAAAGGCGAAGAAGAAATATATATTATTTTTATGCAAGAAGAAGAAATATGAGATAAAGACACACCTTACGGGCCATAATGTCTACATTCTGCATTTGTGAAATGCCGACTGCCATCGCCAAAAGAGCATTGTGATTATCGTTTTTATTCTGCACAATTAACAGAGTATACATTAGCAATAAAATGGGCAAACGAATCGCCTGTTAAGTTGAAACTGGAAGCAGATGATGATAGTAGAGATGGGTGGTAGGGTTATATAGGATAGGATGCTACTATAAAACCAGACCCAGACTGAGCAAGGCTAATATTACCAAGAAGAAGAAGCAAGCAGAGAGGGAGGGAGGGAGGGAGGGAGGGAGGGAGACCTTGGGGTTGGCGCCAGAGTCCCAGAGAGGGCGGAGGTACATGTCGGAGTTGGAGTGAACAATGCCGCGTGGCAGGCCCTCGGCGCCGGTCCGCCAGTGAACGGGGTCGGTGGTGGTGGTGGCGAAGGTGCGGTCCCCGGTGAGACGGTCCTCCTGATGGAAGTTCCCATCAATGGGTTGGATTTTGATAGCAGGCAAGAGGAGCTCCTCAAAGAAGGAGATGCTCTAATACCCTACCTAAAAATGGATGGCGAAGCTATTATAGATATAGAGAGAGGAGAGAACCTTGAGGTGGTGGAACTGGATCTGGAGGGAGGCGAGGACGATGAGAGTGACGACCACCGCGAGTAAACCATAGCGGCGCCGCGGAGGCTTCATGGCGGCGGCGGCGGCGGCGACAGGTGGTCGCCTCGCCTTGCCTTGGTCGGAAGGGGATCCCACGCCCCAGGGATGGGAGACGAGTCCGAGAGTGCAGAGACAGACAGGAGTGCGGCGCGGCGCGATCCGCGGTGCGAGGCAGCCGGCGCGCAAAAGAAAAAAGAAAGGCACATCTCATCTGGTAGGTGTGCGTGACATGTGGGCCCACATTTGTAATAATGAATGAAAAAGATTTTATTTTGAACAAAATTAGTTGTACCCAATCTCTACTTGAATACACACAATCACATCAACAACGCTATGCTATAAGTGCTTCGTTAATCATCGCTATGCTAGTAGGACGGAGTATTCTTTTATCCTCAAAAGTATTCAGTCCATCTTATTCGCCCGGTATATGATAGGAGTACTTTAAAAATAATAGGGAGCTTTTCTAACATGCGATCCATAGATTCTTTAAATATCTATATAGTTAGCTATTCAATAATTTGACAAGTTAAACTACTTATTGTTCACTCCAACGATCACACCATCTATCCTCTCTACATTGAGTCGATAACACCAGGATCCATATGTCAACCTCTACGATCCCTTCTTCTTCCTCCTCTTTCTCACCCTCTTCCTCTATTTGTCATAATCCTAAGTACATCATTGACATATACTTCCTCCGTTTCACAATGTAAGTCATTCTAGCATTTCCCGTTAATGAATCTAGCATCAATATGAATATGGAAAATGCTAAAATGACTTACATTGTAAAATGGAGGGAGTATCATATTTCATCTTCACTCTAGCTTTAGTTCAAAAGTTTTTGGCCCTAGTGGCATTTTGAAGAATCTCTCTCTTCAATTATGCTAAAAGTATCATCTAACAAATTACCAATTTTTACAGTGTTTTCCATCCATGACACATTTTTATGATGCCTATCAGCAAATTATACAAATTTTAAGTGTACCATAGTAAATTTTGCTAATAAGACTCGACCACTTGTGAAGGGACACACAATGGACTTATTCCAATCCAAATTGACCCCTCCTTTTCCCAGCTCGAAATCAGGCCCGTAAACGGGAAATGGGCCGAATTGAAATAGCGTGAGGGGCAGTTCCGTCATCTTTTCCTCCGGCGACTGTTATACTCTGGCCACTTCCTTCCTTCTCCGCTGGATCGGATTCAGATCGGCACCCACCACCACCACCTTCCTTCCTTCTTCTCTCTTTCTCAGTCTCAGATCAGAATTATCAGATCCCGAGGGAGGGAGGAAGGGAGGCCATGGCCACCGCCTTTGACTCCCCGACCGCCTCGCCCGCCGCCTCTCCCTTCGACGACGACTCCTTCCTCCGCTTCGACGCCGCCGCGCCCGCTCCCGCGCCAGCGGACGCCTTCCCGCCATCACCGGAGCCCTACGCCTTCCGCCCCGACGCGCCCTCCCCCTTCGGTATGCCCGAGGCCAACGGCTCCCTCCACGACGACCCCTTCGCCGCCCCCGACAACGACAACGGACCCGTGCTCCCTCCGCCCAACCAGATGGGCGCTGACGAGGGCTTCCTGCTGCGCGAGTGGCGCCGGTACTTTCTCTTCTCTTCTCTCGTGCTAGATCTACCTGCCAATGGGTAGATCTGTCATGTTCATGTTCACCTAAACTGTTGCGAGTTGCCTGTCTTCTAGTCTGCTCACGACTAGTAGTATTTTCCATTTTTTCGGACAATGGAATCGATTTGCATCTGATACCTGATTCGCATCCTTTCATCTATACGATTTTTTTATCAGCACTAGCTGCCTTGTTAGCATGTGAATAAATTCATGATATCATCTACCAACATCTTCAACATGCTATTGCTTGTCCGTGTAGTATGATGTCAATAAATTAAACACCCGACATCAATAAGAAAATTTCATTACACTGTTGTTATTAAGTGCTGCAACATCTATCTTGCATCGTGACTCGTCAATGTGCTCAAATGGACTATTTCTACATGCTGCAACTTCACCTCACAATGTTCTAAATTTCAGGCATGCTGAGATTACAAAATCATTTAAATAGGCCGTCATGAATCTCATGATGCCACTGCTGTATGACGTTATAACAAGCCTAAAGTTTGATATCCTGTGCATGAGTTCATTTACAGCCTTTTACGATCCAAAACATCTTGTCTGTGCTATAACAAGGCTAGCCTAGTGGGGCAGTTACAAAATCAATGACCAAAACATTGAGTTGAACAGGAGGGAATATGTTGCTCATAATTACCACAAGACATCTATATTTATCGGAATTATCTTTTGGTAACTTGCTTCATGGATTATGACATTGATGATATCTACCTAGAAACATCCAACCGTATATGTTGTTTCAACTTTGGTGTTGCATCCTGTTTCTTCTGTTAATATCTCTGAGTGTTGGGCTTTTGTGGTGTTTGTCCCTTTTGCTATTTCCGCATGGGCCTTAGGGCATCAACTTTTGGTTTGAGAAACTATAAATGAGCAGTGTAATTCATGTATAACAGGGGTTGTTACAAAGATCATTAGTCCTTTTTCAAACTTTTGACTCTGATGGGTAGCTGACCATTCTTGAAATGAAAGTGACCGTGTGTATTCTTGCTGCAGCAAGCTTGGCATGGTTGCAATTTTAAATGTTTCTTCGTTCTGTGTGGTCTGCGAGCCCTTAAACCTCTTTTGTATCGCTGGCATCCCCAGCTGAACTGTTTATCTGCTTTCTATAAAAGCAGGGCCATTGGCCTTTTCTCTAAAAAAACTTATGATAGGCAGCTGACCATGGAACAGTATGTTTGTCATGGAGATTGTTGGTTTTTTGTTTGCAGACTATAGAACAGGTGTGTTGCTTAGAGAGCAACAGTGGTTACATGTTTTGATTGGGTTCTCTATCATGTATTCTTACAATTGTGCTGTCACACAATTCATTATCACTTTTAGTGATTGTTTAAAATGTGAGAATCCAAAGAGTGGCCTATCTCTTGAAATTGTTCTACCTTTGGTCGATTTCTTTTACCAGAATATTCCAGTTGCATCATAGGACTTGCATAGAGGTGACCGCTAGATTTTTTTAATGCTCGATGCCATATATCCTTTTGCAAGTAGATGCTGACACCAATTCTGAACAGTCAAAATGCAATCCTTCTGGAGGAAAAGGAGAAGAAGGAAAAGGAGATGAGGAATCAAATCATCCTTGATGCCAAAGAATTCAAGAAGGCATTTGTTGAGAAGCGAAAGCTGAACGTTGAGACAAGCAAGGATCAAAACCGAGAAAGGGAGAAGGTAGGCTCTTTGTATCATAATGCTCCTGTGTATCCTCTATTGATTTGTGGCCAACATATTTACCTGATAGCTCTCTGTTTTTCTTCTTGTCCATCTTGTGTTCCAGCTTTACCTGGCCAATCAGGAGAAGTTCCATGCTGGCGCAGACAAGCAGTACTGGAAGGCGATATCAGAACTGATCCCACATGAGATTGCAAACATTGAGAAGAGAGGAGCAAAGAAAGACAAGGATAAGGAGAAAAAGCCTGGGATTGTTGTGATCCAGGGCCCAAAGCCTGGGAAGCCCACTGACATGTCACGGATGCGTCAGATATTGCTGAAGCTGAAGCACACTCCCCCTCCACATATGAAGCCACCTCCCCCTCCCGCTGCAGCCACCGGTAAGGATGGTGCTGCAGGAAAGGATGGAGCCAAGGTAGCTGCGGCAGCTAGCAAGGACGCCTCTGCCAATGGCAGTGTTCCAGAGATGGAGAAGGCCGCTGCTGCAGCAGCACCTGCAGCAGCAGCAACTGAACCCATTGCTGCTGCCTGAGTGATAACGGCTTGGCTCAGCTGCTAATGGTTTCCTGTAGGACACAGAGGAGAAGGCAGAGTGTCTGGCACGGATGTGCGCCACGTATGGTGTAGCGTTGTTTTTGTTAAGAAAGTGTTGTGTTGTGTTGGGACCTTGATTCGTTGCTACATATATTGTTATTGCATTTTGTAGAGAAAAGATGAGAGGGGATATATCCTGGCAATAATAAGTTAAATCTGTTGTATTAGGATGTGCGTGATTGTGTGATGTTGTGACGGTGGTTGTACTATTTTCCAGGTTGTCGGATTTTGGTAAACTCAACTGTGTATTTTATTTGCATATATTATTATTATTATTATTATTATTATTATTATTATTATTATTATTATTATTATTATTATTATTATTATTATTATTATTATTATTATTATTATTATTAATTCTACTTGTGTATATCGATGCTTTGGGGCTTTTTATCCTTTGGTTACTGGAGAGAATATCTGAAGTCATGCTTTTGAGCACTGGAGGGAATATTGGCAAGCACATATCTCTATGGTGGTAGACCGGTAGTATAGTATTGTAGTATAAGCGATGTATGAAATTGAAGGTGGGGTTGGGATTATTGCTTGTTTTCCTGGATTTAAATTTTGAAGTATGTATGTCTCTATAATGTATGTAAATGAGATTAATTCCAGCAGTGCGCCGATGAGACTATGACATTGATGCAAAGCTGAAATTATGCAAAATGTGTGTGCGTCTTAATCATTGGATGAAGAATAGGGGGTGCTTGAGAGGGTCTGCCGCACTTCGCTACGGAATCACTAAGTAAACTTTAATATATTAGTTATTAACAACAAATAAATCTGGATTGCCAAACAGGTGGGCTTGTAGGTAAAATATTAGGTTGGCCAAATTTTGCATCGCAAAAGGCAGAATGTAAGAAAAATTTGATGAAAAGTCATGATTTATCAATACTAATTATGAAAGAAACTAAATAATATCCCATGTATGGATGAATATATGTTGATTATTATAAAAATGATGGATACATATTTTGAATTTTGTGGAAATAAAATGAGGGGTGATAACATTTTGTACAATTTAATAAATTGTAGTTTACTCTTCTGAAATTAGAACTATGCCACTCTCATCACGATTTTCGTTAAACACCACTATTAGCCACAAATGTCCATCCTCCTAACCATTAAAGGAGAAAGAAACACCTTCATCCTCCTCGCCATTAGCAACCTCCACCTCATCGGATTTCCTTGTTGACAACCCAGATGCATGTTGTATCTCCTCATAGGCGGCATCCAAATGGTTGCACAACCATAGTAGCAGGAAAGGTGGTATACCAGGAGGAGGGAACACCACCAACCACGAGCCGAGCCTTTGCTCCTCCTCCGGCACCTAGTACTACATGTAGGAGTTAGGGGCAGAATTTCCATGGCCCGGGGCAGGGTTCCCACCATCGGCGACACTAATAAATTAGGATATTGTGATTTCTTTGGGAGTTTGGAGGTGGGAGGGTTGGATTTTTTTTGACCGAGAGTTTTCTTGAATCTATAGATCTAATGCAACCATGTGCTTGTTTGAAATTTGAAACTGCATGATTTACTTAGTGTATTGGAGCCGGTACTCGTGTTCGGCAAGGACGATGATCTCGGTGACCATGGATGTCGCCGCATGGACACGGTTGGGGCTGACGGAGGTGTTTGATGGAAATCGTGATGGATTGACACGGTTATAATTTAAAAAGAATAATATTTGATGGTATTCACCCGATTTTACTAATAGTAATAGTATTTTTTAAAATTGGTAAAAGTTGTAATGACATGGATCGAACTAACCCTTGGATTGAAGCTCTAAATTGCAAAACATTGCTTTTTTTTAATATTTTACTACTAGCAAGCAAGCATATCTGCTCGCTGACATGTAGGCCCCACGACATCACATGTTAGTGAGCTCAATTGGGAGACGGAGAGACCGGGGGAGGAGGCCCAAATTTCCAATCCAACACTGAGATGCGAGTGAAATGGCAACGAGCTCCACCGCCACCATCATCGCCGCCTCCTCCTCCCCGCAGCCGCAGCCTCTCTTCCTCCTCCTCCGGCTAAGGAGCAGGGCCAGACCCGGGGCTCGCCTGAGAGCTGCCGCTGCCCGCTGCTCCTCCTACAACGGTTGGGCCGACCTCGCCGCCGAGCCCGACCTCCCCTTCCCCCTCCAGCCATCTCATGCCCTGCTCCCGCTCCTTCTCCTCCCCATCGCTGCCCTCTCCCTCCCCCGCCTCCCTCCCCTCCCCCTCCTCGCCGCCGCCTTCTCCGCCGGATTCGCCACCAGGCACCTCGCCCCCTCTCCCTCTCCCACCCACTCCCGTCGCCTCGCTGCCCTCCTCGCCGATCTTGACGCCCAGCTCCGCGCCCTCAGCTCCTCCTCCTCCTCCACCGCCGACCCGAGTCTTCTCCTCGACGTCGCCAATCAACTCCGCGATGCCGCCCGCCTAGCTGCCCAAGGCACCATGCTCGGGGATGCGGTCAAGGAGGCCGCCGGTTATTTTGCTGCCTTCAGCTCGCCACGGAAGAAGCCCAAGACTGCTGCGGCGGCGGCGCTCAGCCTGGAAACGCCTAGTCCTCAGGACGACGGCAACGGTGGTCTATTGGCTTCAGCAACAAATGCTACCACGAAACGCACTCAAGGCAAGCCACTGGACTCACCTAGTGCTAGTGGTGGGACTAGGACTGGGCTGGGTGACATGCTTCCATTCGACATGGATATCCATCCATTGGATGATGCAGGGTTCAGTGCTCACAGTAAGCAAGATGATGATGCTGATGATGGAGTGGAGCGATTAGTGTCCAAGCACAGGTATGGGCGTCACACCGATTCTTTTCAACAAGGCAGACTTGCCACTGAGTCCATGGAGTCGCCTTTGCTAGAGAGGACGCTCGAAATTCGGGACAGATCCTACAAGTTGAAGATTGAGAGCTGCCGCGGTAACAAGAGTCAATCAAATGAAGCACAACAGAGGCCGTCTCATCACACTACTACTTCTGATAATATAGATGATGAAAGTAATGCCGTGGATTCAGATGGCGACGAGTTCAGCCACAATGTCATTGAGGCAGCAGAGATTTTGAGGAAGGCGAGGGAATGCATGATGGCCAGAGATGATGAAGAGACTGCAGATGCGCTGCTGTACAAATCAGCCAGGCTTCTTTCCACAGCTGTTGCTTTGAGGCCATCAAGTTTAGTAGCGGTGGGTCAGCTAGGGAACACCTACCTACTCCATGGAGAGCTCAAGCTCAAGGTTAGTCGCGAGCTGAGAACACTCTTGGCCAATACCGGTGCTCTTCTAAATGGAAGAGACCGCGTCTCACGGTCCAGGAAGCTGGACAGAAGAATCTTAAGCAGAGAAAACATTTCGTCTGCCTTAGTTGATGTTTGTGAAGAGTGTGAAAGCCTTCTTGTTGAGGCTGGGAGAAGCTATCGGATGGCCCTATCGATTGATTCTGGTGACGTCAAGGCACTGTACAATTGGGGACTAGCACTTATCTTTCGTGCCCAGCTACTTGCTGATATCGGACCGGTATGGACATGAATTCACTTGTACCAACTATGTTGACGGTCACAAAACAAGCTGCTATGTGGTCTGCATCACTTGATATATCAATTGTACAGTGCCTTGATGCAGCCTAGTGTGTGTGTATATATATATACACACACACACTAGGCTGCATCACTTGATATACTATCGTCTGTGATGTGATGCTGGACTGTTTCTATCTGTAGAACAGGAGGATCTTTTTAGTTCTTACGGCCATTTTAACTTAGAGAAAGTTCAATACCTCAGTAAACTATGGAGTACGTCAAATACTAGCATACATTTCTGTCTTCTTTTATTGAGTGACCAATCCTAGATCTAAGGTTAATCTTTGCACTTCCTTCTATGCAGTTGTATTTATACTTTTTTCTGTGCTAGACTGCTAGTTATATTTACCTAAAAAAAACTGATGCAGGAAGCAGCAATTGATGCTGACCGAGTTTATTTGGCTGCAATCGATAAATTTGATGCGATGTTGTCCAAAAGCAACACATATGCTCCGGAAGGTTCGGTAACACTATGATGTTCATACTCTTGTCCAATATTCATCTAGCATTTCCTTCTTGTACAAAAGGATAAGCTCATCTCATCTATTGAGTGTTAGGAGCATCAGATATAACATAAGTAACATCTGATATAACATGAGTAACATCTGCGGGTCTTTTCATGCGGTTGCTCCTGGTGTTCAAGAAAAATTGGTTTTGCTTTGCAGCTCTCTACAGATGGGGCATTGCACTGCAGCAGCGATCCTATCTCCGTTCTGGAAACAACAAGGAGAAGATGAGGCTCCTGGAGCAGGCAAAGAGTATGTTTGAAGACGTTCTGTATGTAGAAGCAGATAACAAGACGGTAAGAGAAGCGCTATCGTCATGCATAGCAGAGCTCAACTACCATGGGCGATGGTTATAACCAAATTTGGTTGCGGGAAATGCTTCTTGTGTGGAGTTTGATGATCCCTATTTTGTTGTCAATTGTCGTTGTACGCCTTCTTTCGTTTCCTACGTGCAATTGGTATTCTGCCTTACCGAGTTACCGGTAAGTTGTGAATCTAGGATACTACTGTATTTGAGTATCAAATAAAACAATAAATAAATAAAAGCGATTGTGTGAATTCAGGGAGCACCCGGTTGTATTGTTTTGGTGAAGAAATAGCACTGACAAGTGACAACGCCCGGTACTAGTAGTGCTAATTGAAGAAATAGCATTGATAGCATTGACTATTGTTATGAAAAATTTCTATAATTTTGAAATCAGAAATGGGCGTTTGGTCTAGTGGTATGATTCTCGCTTTGGGTGCGAGAGGTCCCGAGTTCGATTCTCGGAACGCCCCTATTGCATAAATACGATCAATTTTTTATATTTTTTATATCAACCTTTACGATAAATTTTCGGGTTTTGAACTTTGTGAAAAGTTGTTATCAACCTTTACGGTAAAATTTCCGGTTTTAAACTTTGTGAAAAGTTGTTATAGGGATGTCCGGTTTTAAAATTTGTGAAAAGTTGTTATAGGATGTGAAAGTGTGAATATCAAAATTTCCCTACCAAAATACTCCCTCCATCCGATTCTCTCTAACCCACTGAATACTAAAGTTTAACATGCAAATATACTACATCGTCATCCATTAATAATCATTACATTTAAACATCATGCAAGCATGTTATATTATATATAAATTTTATAGCTTTTCAAATGCAAACATGTTAAATCATCATCTCACATAATTCATATAATATTTCAATATATTTATTCATTTTTTATAAAAGTAAAGTCCATCACCGATCCTTAAACTTGTACCGATGTGTCATTCCGGTCCCTAAACTCGCAAATCGAATGTTCAGGTTCTCAAACTTGTTCGACTATGTCATCCTAGTCCCTAAACTTGCAGATCACTTGTTTAGGTCCTCCAACTTGTTCAGTTGTGTCACCCCGGTCACTAAACTTGGATTTGAATATCATCTAAGTCAAATAGGACAGTCTAAAGACTTTATATTTAAAAATAATTCATAACTTTTTCATGTGAGCTCTAATGAAGACAAACTTTATATCAAAATTGTAGCACTCGACACGATCTACAATTTTGTAGTTGAATTTTTTTATTTTAAGTCATGTTTTGTCCCAAAATGTAATTTTAAAATTAAAATTTCAAAATCTATAAACATGCAACAATATTTTGGGATCTAAACAGTTTTAATTCAAAAACTTCTCAACTACAAAGTTGTAGGTCGCGTCGAGGGCTACAATTTTGATATAAAGTTTGTCTTCATTAGAGCTCACATGAAAAAGTTATGAATTATTTTTTTATATAAAGTTTTTAGACCGTCCTGTTTAGGGACCGGGATGACACAGTCGAACAAGTTTGAGGACCTGAACGGTTGATTTGCGAGTTTAGGGACCGGGATAACACAATGGTACAAGTTTAGGGACAGGTGATGGACTTTACTCTTTTTATAATATCTTTTATACCTATATAGTTCATTCTAACTCCTAAATCCTCTCTTGCTATAAAGTTAGAGCCCACTAAATTCTAAAGCTTAACATGTAAAGATGCCACATCACCATCCACTAGCAATCACTACATTTAAATATCATGCAAATATGGCTGTGTTTAGTTCCACGCTAAAATTGGAAGTTTGACTAAAATTGGAAGTTTGGAGAAAAAATTGGAAGTTTATGTGTGTAGGAAAGTTTTGATGTAATGGAAAAGTTGGAAGTTTGAAGAAAAAATTGGGAACTAAACTCGGCCTATGTTATATTATCTATATTTTTTATTAAGTTTTATAGCTTTTCAAATGCAAGCATGTTAAATCATAATCTCACATAATTCACATAATATTTCAATACGTGTCTTCATCTTTTTTATATAATATCTTATATATACCTATATAGTTCATCATACCTCTTAATTTAGTTAATGTGCTGTCTCTCTCTTCTCTCTCATTAAGCCACATCACATCAATTGTTTTATTCTTAAATAATTATATATGGTTCAAATTATCTTCTTCCCTTTCTTTTCTTATTAAGTCTTGTCAACTCAATTGTTTTTAACCCTTAAATGATTAATAATCTATGCTCCAAACTATCTCCTTTATTTTTCTTCTCTCGTAAAGTCACATCAATTTACTTTTGCATTTGAATCATCATTTTATATATTATTTAAATTTAAATTATCATAAACCACATCAACTTACGTAAATTTATATTGTCTAGCTATCTTACACATTACTTTTACTTAGTGCTATCATACAAAACTCTTGCAACAACGCGCGGGGTTTCACATAGTTTATATGACGCCACAAGCCAAACCAAAATATAAGAATTTTCACATGGCTATGTAAAAACAGTTAGCCCACCAATATTGAGTTTTCACAACTAAATAAATACGATCAATTTTATACCAACATTTCACAACAATTCGTCTTGCAGGCTGTGAAATTGTAAATATCAATATTTGCCTACTGAAATACTCCCTCCATCCCGATTTATATGATGCCATAAGTCAACCCAAAATGAGTCAAAATGTATGATGTTGCATGTAGCGAACAATGCAGGGGAATTGTGTTCTAGCCATGGCCTCTGACGGGCGATGCAAAGTCATTTGCATGTCGTTATCGTGATCCATTTGGTCACCTTGAATTGCCTCCTGCTGGTGCCTGCTTGCTACCATGGTGGTAGTGGCCGATGATACACTCATTAGCGTCATGTAGCCACCATCCTCGTTGTACATGATGGAAAATCGGTGTTGTGTTTCGGAGAGGCATTGTTGATGCTTCTGAGGCCATGCCACTATTGCAGTTACATCGCATGTGCTCGCCGCCACCGTCGAGAAAAAGTTGTGTGTGCCAGTGGCGGCGACCCCTGAGGTTGAGATAGTGGAGTTGTTTGTAGGTTGTGCACCACCGTGTTCACCGTGCACTACAAGAATCTATTTAATCTATGATAAAAAAATTCGTCATGGATCACTGAAAATTCGTCACAGGAATTTGTCTGTGACGATTCTACTTATCGTCATCTATTGAGCGTCACAGATTAAATCTACCGACGTTTTCTCTGAAATCGTCACGGATCAGCACAATCTATGACGTTTTTTAACCGTCATAAAACTCTTCTGGGCTCGTGTAGTCCAGCCCAGGCCCAACCTTTGTGACGAAATTAAACGTCACAGATGGTTGCCACGTGGCGGCCAACATGGCAGATGACGTGGTCACTGACACATGTGTGCTGACGTGTCACTGATGACGTGGCAGCTAATGTCAGCAGTTTTTTATACAGCCCATTATTTTTTAACGGCCCATTAATTATTTAGCAGTGGCCCATTATTTTTTTTAGAATTGACCCATTTTAAAATAGGCCCACTTTAGATCTAGGCCCATTTCAAAACTGGCCCATTTTATCAACCAACTATCAGATCAAAGCCCAATAAACAGGCCCATTAAATTTGAACCCACCAAATTCAATTCAATTTCTCATACATCTCATATTCAAACCTAATAACATATACCATCTCAGATTCAACTAATAACAGATACAATCAGAATACAACAGAATTCAAACAATAGTTTATCTCAGATTCAACCTAATAATAGATAGTCTCAGATACTCTGCTTCCAAAATTAAACAATAGTTCCACAGCAAGCAACAAAAATTTGTGTAGCAGAACTTGCAGCACCAAAAAACACGTGTGGTCCTGTCATGTTTGCACCACTCGTGAAAGTGACCGTGTGTACGTGTTCTACATTCCCACGGTGGTAGTGTGCAGTGGTGTCACGGTGGCGTCGTACACATTGTCACCGAGCTGCAAGGCGATGCAGCCGATGTCGTAACAAAAAAAATGGAGGCGGCTGCTGCCGACACCTTGAGGCTCTTGGTACCGCGGGTTCCTCCTACTGCGGTCACGAGCATGCTGCTCCAGGGCCACTGCCACACCTCGACTACCACATGTTATCCTAGGCCATAGCCACATCTCTCTCCACGGTCGATATGGGGGCACCAAGCAGAGATAAGGCCAGCAGCGACGTGGGAGAGACGGCAAGAGAGCTGCTGTTAAGGCTAGGGATGAAAACGGAGCGGCTAGAATAATACTCCTACCATATTCGTTTTCATATCTTTTGCCAGGTGCAGAAAATAAATACAAATAGCTCCGATATGAAAACAACACAAATTATCTCGAATGCGAATAAGGATCGAATATGATCAGACACGAATACATGAACATTTTTTTCTCGGAACACGAAAACCACCTCAACTTCTAATAGAAACAAAAATATCATCATATATAATTAGCTCATTTTATATAAATTATAGTATAATTTATAACATATTTAAAAGTTTAAATAATATTAATAGTGTGGAATAGTGTTAAGAAATTATTGACAAAAAAATCGAACACACCGGCCTAGGAGATCTGCTTAGCTCCAGTGCAGGTCCAAATATGATGAGATGCGGGCGTGCCAGTCAGTTTGATCCTGCAACTGACAAGATATGCAAATAGTAGATCAAAACAGCCAATCGGCTGACAAGCCGATGGAGTAGTTCCAGCAGATAGCCGATAATAGCCGATGCCGATACCAGCCGATAGCGATAGGGTTTAAGCAATCGGCTATATGTCCAATGTAGATAATGATATAAAGGCAATCGGCTACTGATAATAAAATATAACAATAATATCCAATATAAACCAATCGGCTAGCAATGATATGATAAATAAGCATCGATCCAAAGGTTAAAGCACACATCGGCTGGAGGTCCGATGTCATGAAATTCATAAGATTAGATTAAACAATGAAACCTTTGTTGTCATCGGCTAAATCCAACTTATATGTATATGCAATCCTCATGAGCCGATGCAACGTCCAGATAACTCACCGGCTGAAACCCCGATGAAACCCTTATTGGCAATCAATAAGCAGGCTAGAGATTATGGTTCTAAACTTAACTGATGCAGCACTAAGTATGAAAAGAAACGCAATATCTAGACAATCAAGCTGTTGACTGAGTTTTCAAGGTGGTAGATGTCTAAGCTAATCTAATCTAGCAAGGCGATTTAGCCGATACCGGCAGAAACCCTAAAACGAGAGACAGCCGATAGAGCTAAATTGATATGCTAGGACTAGATTAATAGAGACATATGATAAATAGCCAGGCAAATATATCATCCAAACCACAGTAATCCAAGAGGTCAAATGTACTGATGCAGCCTTAAACGACGCAGACGTAGACGATACAATTGCCTGGACCGGCGGAACATTAGACTTATCCCTTCGCCGGAGATCGAAGACGATGCAGCCCCGCGTTGGGTGCCAAGTTCCGCCGGAACGTAAAAACAAAAGTAGAAGTAAAAAGGGTGGCGATGCGCCAAATTGTATTGATCGTGAAGATAGATTACAATGACCCCGGGTGTACATATTTATACCCATGGGTTGATACAAGTCCTTGTCAGACAAGAAAGAAACCTTCCTAAAGATAAAAGGAAAAGATAAAGTCCTTATAGGACACTAAACACACTTTCCTAAAGATAAAAGGAAACCAACAAACTATTCCTATTTAATAGATAACTTGCCATGCAGCATTCTCTTTAAACTCGGTCACTTATGGATAAGCTTCCGTTAGTAGATTGATTTTCTTAGCCAAATATAGCAGGAATCCGATTATTAGCGACTTGATAACTCCCATCGGCTGATCCCGAGATGCTGCAGCCGATAATGACTCTAAGCCGATGACGTCTTTGCCAATTACCAAATTTCACTGTTAACAGAAATGTGCTACTATTAAAATCGAAAAATATATATTGAAGATCGTAGAGTTATAAAGAAATGTGATATATCTCATGGCTTCAGCGGGTATCCGAATAACACAGTTCACCGTATATCCGTATCCGTTGGAAATCTTGATACGTATTTGTATTCGTATACAGGAGAAAATATATGTACTCATATCAAAATCCGAAGTATCCGAGAATTATCCGCCCTGAAAGGTATCCATATTTGTTTTTCTTCGGAGAATTATCCAAACTATTTGCTCCATTTTTATCCCTAGTTAAGGTGACGCTGAGAAGATGGTGAGAGCCAGCGTTAAGGGAGATGTCCGCGACGTTCTCCTCCTCGCTGTCGAAGGTCTCGGCTGCGGAACGGTGTGGATGACGTAGGTATGAAACGAGATAAAAGATAAGTTGGTACAATTACTATGTTCTTAGTTTTGTTAAACATGTCTAAAACGTAAAATTTGCATTGGACCATTGTAAGACCTAAATTTGTTTTTTAGTTTTGAATTGTTTGTTATTTTAGGGGAGAAAAGCTGAAATTTAATCATGAAATGGTTTTACTCCCTGCTCCACTCACTCCAGCATGCTAGTCTAGTCTAGTTGTAGCAAAAACCAAAATGTAGAGGGGCCATGGTGGAAAAAGATGTTCCCGGCCCCACCCCATCTTCTTCCTCCTCGCGTCGCGGCGCTTCCCCTCTCCCCACGGCCGGAACCCTAACTCCGGCGATGGGGATCTCCGCCGCAGCCAGAGGCAGCGGCGTTGGATCTTCCGTCCCTGAGGCTCCGGTGTTCCGCCCCACGGAGGAGGAGTTCGGCGACCCCCTGGCGTACGTGGCCCGTATCCGGCCCCTCGCCGAGCCATACGGCATCTGCCGCATCGTCCCGCCGCCCTCCTGGTCTCCTCCCCCGGCACTCGACGTCTGCACCCTCTCTTTCCCCACAAAGAGGCAGCCCATCCACCGCCTCCTCGCCCGCCTCGCCCCCGCTGATCCCGACACCTTCCTCCTCGATTACCGCCGTTTCCTCCACCGACACCGAGGCCGCAAGAAGCCAAAGCCAAAGTTGCCTGCCCTCTCCGACGGACGCCCGCTCGACCTCTGCCGCCTTTTCCACGCTGTCAAGCGCTTCGGCGGCTACGACGGCGCCTGCGCGGGGAAGCGCTGGGCCGACGTGCTCCGCCTCGTTGATGACAAGGCGCCGAGGCATGCCTTCTCCGTCTCCGAGCACGTCATCGCGCAGCTCTATTATGAGCATCTCTATCAATATGAGCACTTCACAAACAGATTGCCATCACAATCACATGATGATCAACCGCCGGTTTCTGCTTCCTCTGCTAATATTAGTATTAGGCGCCAGAAGAAAAGGCTTAGGAAAACCAGCAACACAATGGGACACTGTGGAGGCAGCACTAGTGCCAAAACTGCAGCATCTGCTCCCAAGCAGAAAAGGAGAAAGGTTGATGCAACGGCTACTGTGGTCAATGAGGCAATGGATCAGGTCTGTGAGCAGTGTAATAGTGGCTTGCATGGGGAAGTCATGCTGCTCTGTGATCGCTGTGATAAGGGATGGCATCTATATTGCTTGTCTCCACCACTCGAGAGTGTGCCTCCGGGAAACTGGTATTGCTCAGAGTGCATGAACTCTGATAGGAATTGTTTTGGATTTGTCCACAGGAGGAAGACTTGCCAAGTTGAAACTTTCCGGAAATTTGAGGAGAGGGTGAGAAAAAGGTGGTTTGGACACAAGAATCCCAGTCGTGTTCAGGTTGAGAAGCAATTTTGGGAGATTGTAGAGGGAAAGGTAGGAGAGCTTGAGGTTATGTATGGGAGTGATTTGGACACTTCAATTTATGGAAGTGGGTTTCCTCGCCTTTGTGATCCCGTGCCATCGTCGGTGGACCCAGTTATGTGGCACAAGTATTGCTCGAGCCCATGGAATCTGAATAATTTCCCAAACCTACCAGGCTCAGTTCTTCAGACAGTCCGGGATAACATTGCTGGTGTAATGGTCCCTTGGCTCTACATAGGGATGCTGTTTTCATCATTTTGTTGGCATGTTGAGGATCATTGCTTTTATTCGATTAATTATTTACATTGGTATGCAAATCCCCCTTCAAACTGTTAAGCATTTGTACTATTGCGTGTTGCTTCATCCATGCCTGCCCTCTACGCAGTTATTTACTATTAAAAATTTATAATTTTGGGTAACATGCAAACTTGTCAACCTGTCAATATGGATAAACAAGATTTGGTAACATGCAAACTTGTTAACTGTGGCTATTTTTCCTGGTTGGCTAGTTCGTAGCATGGTGCGTTAGCTCGATTGATGATTTAACAACTTGCTCCTAAAGAGTGTTCTCATTGTGTTGTTTGATCATGAACTGCTTAATAATGATTTATAGGTCATCTGATGTCTAATCATAGAGCCGCTGTGAGTGCTAGTCTTTTTCACCTACACAGTTACTCCATGCACGTGTAAGTGAAGGATGTTAATGCATTTATCTAGGACACCCACACCAAAAGTTTGTGTACATAGGATGTTTACGTAAAAGAGTTTATGCACTTAGATGGGACAGCAACAGTTTGCTGTAGTATTAAGCTCGATTGGAACAAAGTGAGGAGAGAGGAATGATGCATGAGTCATGTAGGAAATCAAATATTAATAAATCATAGAGTGAAACATGATTCCTATCTGGTGCATCTGATTTGAACTTCTGTATGTTTTAAGTTATTAGCGTTGGGGTTTGTTCAGATTACCCGGATTTCTGATTATGGTTGTTGAAGTCGTAAAGTTAAGTTGAGTTGCTCCGTATACCGACTTGGTGACTACCTGAACTAGTCTTTGAATTAACTAAGTCTATACAACTACACTACACATACCGGTCGCTTCTACTTCTAGTCTGCTTGTACTTTTTAGCTCTGCTCAATTGTGTGGGTAATTCAATCAGTCTGATCTTATGTGAGAATTGTATGTTTGGAACCTGTCGCGTTCTTTTGTGAAGATTTGAGCATACACTTACTGTTCATCATGAGGGTACAATGTGATTATCTGTTATATGTTTCAGGGGTGAGCCGAAATGTTGGTATGGGGTACCTGGAGCAGAAGCAAATGCTTTTGAGAAGGTATATTTTACTATGATAGGGCACAGGCATCCTGGTTTCCTATAATTTTGACATTAATTGTTTATATGTGCAAAGATCGATTGCACACCTAAGGACTACACTTTCTTTTCTTTTCCTTTTTTTGCATGGTTTCGTAAATTTCATCTTTGCTGTAGAACCGGTGGCAATTGCTATTGTGCTTCTGTTTTTGAGCTATGCTGAATTCCTGGTACATTTTTCACTGAAAAGATCTTACCCATGGTGTTTTTTGGTTAAATTTTGAAGAAACTAAAAACAAAAAGCTGCTTACCATAGCCAGCGAGATGTCTATTTCATGGTTCCTTCCTTCTTGATAGCTTCTGTATACAAGTGGCTTCTAGAGATAACTACAGACATGCACTGCAGCTTTATAGATGAGTGAGGAAACTCTATGTAGTCGATAACATTTTCACTTTTTATGATACAGCACTGCAGCTCTTGACAATGACTTATGAATATGAATGAATCAGGCAACACTGAGACTTGTTATGTTAGAATACTTAACCTTTTGTGATCTGCAGGTTATGCGCAATGCTTTGCCTGATCTATTTGATGCACAGCCTGACCTGCTTTTTCACCTTGTCACGATGCTGAGTCCATCGATTTTACAAGCAAATGGTGTTCCTGTTTATAGTGTGATACAGGTTAGTGGAGACTTTGTTAGACTAATATTTTGAACACAAAATTTTCGTGAACTATGACATGGTGATCACATTGTTCCATGCACGTTCTGTCAAAGACTAAAAGTGCATGCTGCTGGTTGCAACTGCTTTCATTCATCTGTTTTATGGAATTTGAATCTAGAGTGAAGTTCTGACTTCTGAAATACAACTAAAAGATTTAACTTGATTATTTTATTGGCATTTTTCAGGAACCTGGTAACTTTGTGATTACTTTTCCTAGGTCATTCCATGGTGGTTTCAATTTTGGTAATACAGGCTTAAGTCATTTCTTTATCATTTATTATTCCATTCAAAATCTGAGATGTACCACTCATTTTCAGGTTTAAATTGTGCTGAGGCTGTAAATTTTGCTCCTGCCGATTGGTTACCTCATGGTGGCATTGGTGCTGAACTATATCGCCTGTACCGTAAAGCACCTGTTTTGTCACATGAGGAGCTTTTGTATGTGGTTGCAAAGGTCAAAGAATAGCTGCCATTAGTTATTGGTTTCTTTGTTTCTGTATTTAGTTTAATTTGATTGTTCTGCTATGCTGTTCTTTTTTGTTTCTAGTAAGAAAACCTCACTTGTTGTAAAATTGATCTACTACAATCCTTGTTTGTTAATTGGAATTTCAGCCAATCGCTTTCTGTAGGCTATGTTTTGTCGTTAACACCAATTGTGTTGTAAAAGAATAAACATCTGAGGCATTACCGCATCAGTCCGCTATCATATAAAACACAAGTGCTGAAGAGTTTGGTTGTCCTTGGCTGCTTTACCACCAGGATGTAAAATAGCGTTTTAGCTTGTTGCTGTATACATACAATGCTCCGCGAAATCACTAGTGGCCATGAGATGCTCCTTAATATTTCACTTTGTGGTGGGGCAATTGAGACACTACTCTTACAAAGTTGTATTGTATTCTGTTGAACAATGAAGATCTTCCAAGTTATGGCACTGGCTCTAGTACCATTATGCTGAGGAAGTTCCCACCCAGAATTAATATCATAGTAAATAGTTTGGGAATGCTTGAATACAACTTTTTCTGCTCTCTGAATGAACCTTCATTGTTGAGTTGTCAGGTTTTACATTATCTTATTTGATACATAACCCTCTATTCTGAGTAATCATAGCCACCATTTACAAGCCTCTAAATGCTCATATTATGTTGGACAGAACGGCGTGGACAATGAATCACTTCCCTACTTACAAGGAGAAATAGAGAGGCTATTTGTGAAGGAGAAAAAATGTCGTGAGGAGCTATGGATTACTGGGATTGTCAAATCCAATCTGATGCCACCGAAGAATAATCCAAACTTCATTGGAAGTGAAGAGGTAGACCTACTAGTATATCGCCATCTCATGTCATGGTAACTTCATCAGTGCCTTTTGAACCCATTCCACATTTTATTATGCAGGACCCTACATGCATTATTTGTCGCCAGTATCTGTATCTCTCTGCTGTTTCTTGTAACTGTAGGCTGTCTTCGTATGTTTGCCTTGAGGTTTGTCTTTCTTCAACCATTGTTTTACATGTTTAGTTGTTAACTTCATGTTTTTTTGAGTTTCATTCTGCTATTTCCAAACTTGAGCATATATGTAAATGACAACTTCTATTTAAGGATTTCATCTTATGCAGTGACATTGACAGTGCACTCATCCCATTGATATTAGCCAAGTTTATTAAGAGCATTTTCTCTTTTTCCCAGCACTGGAAGCACCTTTGTGAATGCAGTCCAGAGAAACATCGCTTACTTTACCGCCATACCCTTGCAGAGTTGGGTGATTTAGTTTGTGAGGTCTCAAAGGCTAATCTACCAAGGGAGAATGTTAAGCAGAACTCCCTTTTACATAGTGATGTTTTTTTGCCAACGAGAAAGGTTCGTTATTGACTTTAGTTTACTGTTTTATCTATTACGTAATCTGTTTGAAATATTTTAATTTGCTTATCCATAAATGCATGGGATGATTTGCCCACTTCCTTAAATTTTGGTCAATTATTGGTTCCTTTCATTTGATTTCATGACCGTCTGATTCTGTGAATAGAAAACTATGTGTTGCTATATCCCAGATCTTGTTCTTGTTAACACCACCTTGATTATCAATGCCTTAGTTTCCTTATCTTCCTTTGATAGGGTGTTTTATCTGCTCATTTCCAGGACAAAGATCAGTATATGTCATATACACAACTTGCAGAAGACTGGCTTTCAAAAGCTGACCATATTCTCCATATGCCATTTTTAGATACTGCATATGCCACTGCCTTAGAAGATGCTGAACAGTTTCTTTGGGGTGATCATAATATGGATTCTGTATGTTTCTTCTACCGAGCATGCTGTGACTTGCCTACCAGTCTTCAACAATTGAATGTCTTGTATTAAATTTGGTACTGTGTGCTTCTTAGGTGCGGAATATGTCAGCAAAATTAATAGAAGGTAGGAAATGGGCTTCCAGTGTTAGAAAATGCCTCTCTCAAATTGATGGCTTTCTTCATTGTAAAGAGAATTGTTCCGAGAAAGTAAATTATGTGGAAATCAAAGAATTAGCTGCTGTAAGATGCAAACCATGTTATGAACCAAGTCTTGCACAATTGCAGGTATGTAAAACCCAGAACTCTTGTTGGCCTTATTGAAAGACACTAAAGTTTATTATGTTGTGTTAATTCCCCTTCCCTCTTTTCTGTTGAAGGTATATGTGGACAAAGGAGAAATAATGATTAATGAGATAAACAATGCATTATCATCTCGCTCAAAGGTAAACTTATTTCCAGCTATTGTTAGTTTTAATCAGACCTTTTTTTTTCAAAACTAACTAAAAGTGGGAACATGTAAGAAAGAAACAAACAAAAAAGATACATTATGATTTTAAAAATTCTTCCACCTTCTGTTTTGTGTGTTTTGTGGATATGTTGACAGATGTTTCTTTACTGATATGTTTCTAGGTTGATTACTTGGAAACACTGTACTCTAGGGCTTTAGAGTTCCCGGTTGAACTAACAGAAACATCAGCACTGTCTTGTGAGATTTCTTCCGCAAAGGTGTGGACTCTATACCAATGGTCGAAAAAAACTGATCTGATTGCTGTTCCATGCTAGTCAAGTTTTTCTTCCATTTTAAATTTCTAAGGGATGTGTTTTTTGTTAACATTTTTGTTCCTTAACTATTGGTTATTTACATTTCATCTGTGCTGCAGTCCTGGTTGAAGAAAGCATGTGATTGCCTTGAACAGAATAAACGGGGCATCGTCGACATAGATTTCCTAAATGAACTGAAATCTGAGGTTTGTTTTTCCCAGTAAATTATCTTCCAGCTGCCATTTTAAAGTTAACCTCGTTCACTCTGCCCTTCATACATTTCTGCACAAATTGTTACTCTATTGGTGATCGTTTGATAATATCTGCATCTTGATAGATGGTGTGCCTTCGAGTGTTAGTTCCAGAAATTAATCTTGTTTCTGAGCTGTGGAAAGAAGCTGAAGCATGGAGAATACGTTGTCGATCCTACCTCCAAGACCCCCCCAGCCTTAAGGTTGCCACACCTCCCTGCCTTTGTTTTACTAAATTTAAATTTAAACAGTCTTCCGTGGCAAATATTCCAGGAGTTGGAGAGCTTCCTTCTTGTGGTGGATGGTGCCAACTTCAGTATTCCAGAGCTGAACATTCTGATGCAACGGTATTCAGGTGCTTGCTCATGGGTCAATCATGCTAATAACATAGTCGGCAAACTTCTTGAAAGGAATGATTATGACAACATTGTTGAGGAGTTGACTGGCATTCTGAAGGATGGAGAATCACTAGGAGTAAAAGGCATGTTGTGTAATTTGTTTTTCTCTTTACGGTGATTGTTGTATTGGAAATGTTGGATTGTTGTTAACGAGAATGTTCTTCTACACAGTTGAGGAATTTTCCGTTGTTGAGGAAGAGCTAAAGAAATCCTTCTGCAGGAAGCAAGCATCCGAGGTATGTCTTTTAAGACATTGCAAATGGGAGTAATAACACATGCGATGTGGTTTGTTCCTTGACAAAGCTATATCTTTACTTCTTTAGCAGACATCTAGAATTCTACATATCACATTATCAGACTGACGTTGATTGTTACAAACCTTGGAATATGTAGCTCTTGCCTGATGAGTGCACACTAGAAAAATTCTCAGTGTATAGCAGCCTCAAACTATTAAAAGTGAATCACAGATAAGGATAAAACTTGACCAAAAATTCAAACTAGAATCCACTTGTTATGCCAGAGTCCAAAGGTTATAAATATGTTGTCGGGTCCTAACTAGGGAAGTTGTAATACCATTTATTTTTCTGTCACATAAATAACGATGTTTGGTATTGTTTAAGGCATCATTCATGGTGAATCCTTTTTAATGATTAGTTGCTGTATTGATCACATAACATCCAAGCATGTAACAGGCTCTTGCAACACAAACATCTATGGAGGTGGTCAAAGAAGTGCTGAAAGAAGCTTCCATGTAAGTTCAATTGGCTTGTCCTTCGTCCTATACTGTATAGAACGACATTTTGCTTTGTCTCAGTTTTATTGTTTGCCAGATTAACCATTGAAGAGGAGCAACCATTTGTTGATCTGTCCCATAACCTCAAAGCTGCCATCACTTGGGAAGAGAAGGCTAGCTTTATTCTTGAGCACTCAGCTGCTCTCCCTGAGTTTGAAAACCATATTCTGTAAGGGTTCATGGAGATCTATATTCTTATGCTATTGAATCAGATGATTTTTCCTATTGAATCATCCAATTTCAGGTGCTCAGAGAACATACATGTTATCCTTCCATCTGAACTGGATATGAAAGCAGAGGTTGCTACTGCTAAGTTGTGGATGGACAAATGTCAGGCCTATCTGAGGCCTAGAAGTGATAAACCTGCATCTGGAGGTTTTCTTAATGTTGATGACCTAAAGGTTCATGTTCATACATATGGTTCAGTAATATGTTTAATTATTTATAGTACCTATAGATATTTAGATAACTCTTGTTCTTCATGGATTCACAGGATTTAATCGGCCAGCCTGCAAGTATGAAAGTCATTCTTGACACTTCTGCAATTAATTCTGTTCTCAACAATGTCATAGAATGGGAGCATAATTCACTAAGTCTGATACACAGTTCAAGATCCTTACTGGATTCAAATGTAATCGACTCTACTATTGATCCACTTAAAAGAAAACTAGAGGAGCTGCAAGATAAAATTAATGCAGAAATAGAAAAAGGACTATCTCTCGGTTTTGAATTTAAGGTTGTTCATGAGCTGAAGGATTCTTTTTTCACACTTGGATGGATATTGAATGCATTGTCTTTCTGCGGTGTGACTCCTTTGTTGCAGGTGATTGTTCTTCTCATGCATGGTGTCACCATTCTAACTATTAATCTTTGCACCTACCATTTGAATTCGTTATTTGCTTGAAATTTATAGTAGGCTACCATAAGATTGTTTTTGTGATGTCTATTTTTATGCCTTTTCTGTTATTGTCTTGATGAGCTGCTCTCTTCTCCCCCCCCCAACAAACACACACACCATGTATCGCTGTGCACTATTCATTCTGGAAGTGTTCGTTCTGACATGTCCTCAGTGTTGCGTTTCTTAGAGGTTAGATAAGGTAACCGCCCCATCCGCAGTATTGAGAGTTCTATTTTCTATATGCATACCTCGATGATCCACACTTGACCTTTCTAGTTACTACGTAAATTGTATGGTAAATTTTGTATCATTTGTTGTTTTCACATGATAGTTTTTCGTTATATACCTTCAATGTCATGTAAAGCATATTGGTGTTGCTGGATGCAAGAGCATAAAGTTTTATATTCCCTTGTGTAAACAAATAAAATTGACCTTTCAGGATGCTGAAAAATTAATTCAACAAGCTGTCAACCTTCCTGCCTCATTGTCGGATTGTTCCTTAGCTGAACTATTGGTGAGGGGATCATCTTGGCTAAGAAAAGCACTTATGTTTCTTCCTGGTTCAGAAATGTCTGAAACATCCAGATTGTTAAATGTTGAAAATATTTTAGCGGAGTATAAGGCAAGTATTTCAAAGTTCAAACTGATATATCTCATTTTCCATGCACTTGTTGGTGATCAGGTCTTTAGTTTCAATTGCATTATATTTTGCCTGTCACAGGAAATTGCTGTTCCTTATCCTATGATGATTGCCAAACTTGAGGATGCTATCAACAAGCACAAGTAAATTATCCCTACCCAAATGCTTATGCTAAACATTTCAGCCTTATACATGGGCATAAGCATGAATATTGAGTACTTGTTGTTATGTCGAAGCTGAACTACACTACTGCAGATATATTTGAAATTATTGACAGACTATACTAACATTTAACATAGCTTCCTTCCTTCCAGTTCATGGGCAGAACAATGCAATGCCTTCTTCATGTTTCCTGATCATCAATCTTGGGATGGACTATTAAGCTTGAGAGTATGTTATTTGCATTATTTTGTATCAATATACTGAATTCCATATGCACCGTGCTTTGTTACCTCTGTAACATTTACATGAAGCACATGTTTTTGAAACATAGCTGCAATTTTTGTGGCTTACTGCTATTTGCTTAGCTTTGGAACTCTCCTATTGTATTGGATATCTTGTGCTTACCTCATGATGCTCCAACCTTTATAGGACAGTGGTCAGTCTGTGGCATTCGATTGTACTGAGATGGATAAGGTGGTTGCTGAGATTAAAAAGATCGAGGAGTGGCTTACTCACTGCCACTGTACTCTGTTTCCTGATGGCAATAACAGTGATTCTTTGCTCTCCGCGCTTCTGAAGGTTGGTTTCTGTTTTAAGGTTTGCTGTGTCTCAATGCTTGGCAAATTATTTGACTGTTTGGATTTTGTTTTCTCAGATTAGAGGATCAATGGACAATGCTTGTATGTTATATTCCGACTGTAACCAGAAAGGATTATGTGCCATCTGCTCTTGTGATGTGGGAGATCATATTACCCCTAGATGTATGATATGTCAAGCGAGGTAATATACATGTGTCTGGATTGATTTTCCATAGCTTGAAGATCCAAAAGTAGAATATTTTGCTATGCTTATTACAATTCCCTTGTCATTCTGTTCAAAAAACCCACTCAAAGATGTAAGCTAGTATAAAGTCAAGGGAGCTGAATAATCCAGTGAAACTCTCTCTATTTATTCTTAGCATCACATGCTATTTTGTTTCATTCGTTTTATCATTTTTTTATTGCCTGGTGACTCAATGATTGATTAAGCAGGTATCATAGCTCCTGTGTCGAACCACTGCCTGCTTCTACACAAGTGACTCGTGAATGGACCTGTCCTTTTTGCTTTCATTTAGAAAGTGGGGACCCATTACAGAATAGACTACAGGAGAAGGTAACTATTTGTTATAAATCTGATAAAGGCAATGATTAGGGCTATAGTATGGTGATGATTTTAAATGTAACAGATATCTAAAGGGAATCGTCCAGCACTTCCTGCATTAATCGGGCTCCGCTCTTTTGCCAAGGGTTTCTATTCAGGGTAATTTAAAATAAAAATTTAAGAAATAATTCCCTTCCTTACTCTGGTTGACGAAAACCCATTTTTTTCTTTCACAGGATTGAGGAGTTGGATTTATTAGAAGAAATTGCTGAGAAAGCTCATAAATTTAAGTCCTACCTTATGCAAATATTGCATGATGCAGACTCTTACCATGGAGAAGATCTTAGTGTCATGCACAGATCTCTTTTGATTGCTCTAAAGGTGATCATCACCCGTCTTATCACTACTTTTGACAAGTAATCATGCACCTTAGGTGTTCCCTGTAAGATGATGGGAAATGGGAATGTGCTACTGTTGTTCACTACATCTTTGCCATTCTTTTTTGTAGGCAACATCGGCTGCTGGCTTATATGATCACCAGATCAGTTGCAGAATTGAGTCAATGTTGAGCAGATATTCCTGGAAAAAACGAATACATATTCTCTTGTGTGGTGGAAAAAAGATACCGATCCAACAAGTACTGATGCTTGATAATGAGGTAATACAGTTGGTGTATAATACAAAAAAAGGTATTGTTAGGCCATTCAATTGGGTATTCAATAATGAATGGAGCAGCAGATGGCTCCCACCACAACCACAACATGTTAGGTGCTTCGTGATCATAGTTTGGTACTTAAGTGGACTACTAAGACATGGAGAGAATAACAGTTCAGCTGAGACTGCCGCGAAGACAAATTGTGTGTGTCATTTATTATGGTTCTAATCTAATGACAATGTTTATTCAGGACTAAGTCATACCTTTTTTAACCTGAACATCTTTGGCCCTGGCATAGTTCATCATTTACTGCCATATTGTTTTTCCTGCAGACTGCAGTGTTAATTTAATTCTGAATTTAGCTCTGCCTGCTATATCATTTAATGCGTTGATGTTTCAGGGTTCAAGTTTAGAGATATGTGGTGAAGATTTCTTCAAGTTGGAGATTAATAAAATAAAGGAAACTAGTCTGCAGTGGCTGGCCAAAGCAGAAAAGGTGAGATACGAGTTTCTTTTGCTACATGTTTCCTTGGGATGAAAATGAAACTAAGCGGACCTTAAAACTGTCCTGTAGACTACACTTGATTCTGGTAAGCTCGCCCTTGACCTTGTGTATGGACTTATTATTGAAGGCGAAAGTCTTACTGTGCATGTTGAGAAGGAACTGAAGGTACATGCTGTTCATTGTTTGATTCATGATTGCTGGGGTGTTGTGTTGGTTCTCTTTTACACTAACAGAATTCCATTGCAGTTACTACGAGACCGCAGTGTTCTATATTGCATTTGCCGTAAGCCATATGATAATAGGGCCATGATCGCATGTGATCAATGTGACGAATGGTATCATTTTGATTGTATCAAATTGCATGGACCCCCTCCAAAAACATTCTATTGCCCTGCATGCCGTCCTAATAATGGCGGAGAGTATATATCACTTCCATGCTTAGCCCATGAGGACGATAGGTATGTCGATTATTTTCCTCCGTTTCATTCTGCTCTTTAAGTTTGGCGATTGATCTATAGATGTAGGTATCGGTATAGATGTGTTCTATTGGAGCAATGGATTAAGAAAGTTCCAAAGAATGGTGGCAGCTGGACTAGAAAAAAAATGTATCCAGTGTTGCTTGCTGGCAATGGAATACTGCTACTTGTGAGATGGAACAGATGGCATGATAAACAAAAGCGCCCACATTATAAATGATTTAATGTTTCGTGGTTGCTCATCCTATGTATGTGGCTTGGTTATCTCCTATATGACATTTTTTTCCCCATCTCTATAGATCAACGACCGAAGCAGGACCTCACACCCCTCCGGCATCTTGTGAAGCAGCAGGAAGAGTGGGAGCTATCCAGTGCAACAGTAGTAGCCAATGGGAGAAAACACATGTAAGGGTCGATTTAATAAAACTTCTACGTTGTCATAGCGAAACTGACAGCTCGTGGAGAGAAAGCAAAAGGGTTCTCCATCGAACAGCTAGAAGACGTAGTAATTTTTTAGGGCTGTTATGATATTTACATCAATCTTCTCTTGTCAGCTTTAGGTATCTCATTTTTAACATGAAAATTCTTGAGGCAATTCTTTTATTATGATCTGGTGCTGTCAATGGATGTATTGCGGTTTGAACCTTAAGTACTTTACTATTAATCAAATATTTGTAGCTTGCCAGAGAGATCTCTGCTCTCTTGTACTTAGGTCATGGCAGTGCTGCGCTGGATTCAATATGAGAACATTAAGCTTGTAGCATTCGACTGCAACATGACAAGTTTTTATCATGTAATTAGTTTCTAGGTCGGTATATACGCACCCGTGTAAAACAATAGTCCAAATGGTTTCTAGTCTCGGCACCGCAACAATTCTTGAAACTTTTTTTTTGAGAAGGGTATTTTTTTACCCGGCCTCTACATCCAACCAGATATATACAGCCATTTAATTAGAAAATTAGCCTCACAAACAACCCAATCTGAAATTCGCTCCTATGAAAATTTATATTCAGGTTACAACAACCACTAGGCTACATTCCCTTTCACGTTCTTCAAACCTCTGCAACCCCAAAGCATAAACTGGCTCCCAAGTTCGTGAGTCCATATAGACTTGATTTATCCTCTATTAACACATTAGTTCAATATTGAAAAAAAAGAGCTGATAAATTCAATAGAATTTGATGGCAAAATCAGCCCCCAAGCTATATATGTATACAATCACTAGATGTGACAAATTCAAAGCTACGAGCTGGAGTACCAGGCCTGAATCTCGCATATATGATCCCCCTTTACACCGACCACTGAACAGCTTATCTTGTAGAAAGAAGAGATACTCCCAACTATTAAACAATGTTGCACCCTCATGCACAAATACACTTGTACAGATGCAGAGCTCCAACATGTACCACCCACATAAACACAAATGTGCAGATATCAACTGATGAAAGTACTAAAATGCAATGAAATATGCAACTATGTACAATCCAGAGGGCATAAAATGAAAAATTACTAACCATGCAAACAATGATAGTACAATATTAGAAGAAATGGTGTTTGTATATACTAGGTGTTTGGGACAAAGGCATGCTTCTTCATCATCTCTAACATCATCATCAGTCACACGCTGCTTACTGAGGTGGTGGTGCATTTGGATCCAGTGTGTTGTAGGTGTAGTTGCTTGAGTTCAATCCATACTGGCCAAAAGAAAATGTAAATTATTTACAAATACATCGCAGTTATTACAAAGAAAGATTACTGTTCAGTTGGTATCATCCAACAGAAAATACAAGTCTATTGGAATGCCAGGTTATTTACCATGTCATGCATAATGCTAAAGATTGTAATGAAGTTTCAGCATAACTTTCAATGCAACAGTAAATTATTGTTATGGAACCCTGTGATTTTGAGCTGCGTAGTTAGCAATAGAACAGATGGATTGTACATAGTTGAGAAGCTGCAGCAAGACTGACTACTGGTAAAAAAATATATGCCAGTTAACTGCTTCTGCATCTGAGGCCGCAGTTTGCAACAACTAATTTGACTGTACAACAACAATGGCACATGGACAGAGCTCAGAATTTGATGCCCTCAATATGATATCTATGAATATCAAAGGCTATGTAACCATCCTCTCATAACTTCTCATCAGATGGCCCTGAAGCTAATATTGAATCTAAGATCTGTAAACAGATTACTTACTACTTAAGCACTGTCTTCAAATTGCTTGCATAGCTAATAGATGTCAATGGACTAATGCTCCCCTAGAGATACAGGAAATATGGTGCTACAATAAATTTATGTTCTAGATCTCGCGTTACTCATGGCTAGTAAAGTAGCAGACAATGACAGTAGATGAAAGGAAAAAGGAGAAGCTTTTAGACTAGAGGCAGACATTGATATGATGAGAAATTGATAAAATCTAAACCACTCTGTTCCTAATCAAGTACCTTTAGACAAAGGACTCTTTTAACATACATACAACAGAAGCTATGCATTTTATAATAATGTAAAAAAATCCCATAGCTAGAAGATACCAAGACAGCAAGGATATATACAAGTATCACAGAAATAATCTTGCAGATTTAAAACCCAACAATAGAAGTTATGCTTGCAGGCACTACATACGAGTCTGCTATGGAGAACAATAATGTTGGAGAAATATAAGGCGTAGATTTGATTCTTGTACCAGTGGTTTTTAGTAACCAGAGAGGCATACTAGTTAGTTTAAGCGATAAAGTTGAAATTAGAAATGTACATAGGCATTGGAGTGTAAAGAGTTGTCACCTTGTGTCTCATTCTTGAGCTCCATAGGTCTGGATGGAAACCTCTAGTATCGGCGGTGGTAGGAAGATAAGCGGGAGCACCTTGGGCAACCAGAAGTGGCCTCCTTATGACCACAAAATCTTCATCACTGTCATAGTCGGCACTCGGGGTAGAAAGCATGGATCGTAAGATGGTTGCCAGGAGAAGTGAAAGTGCCTGTGTAAAGAAATGAGGGTGGATTTTGTGAGGGTAAAATAAACGGAAGGAGTGGAGTAAATAAATGGAATTGATACTAGGAAAAGATGATTATGTTAGTTACCTGTGTAGCAACAATAGCAAGAGCAGCCCACTTGCAGAGGTCGAGATTAGTTTGGATGAAGGAAAGTAGATTATCGAGTTCTCCAGTGCGGTCATATGGCAAATCCTGAGCGATATAAGTTGATGAGTTGTTGGTGTTCTATGTATGATTGATGAGTTGTTGGAAAGGAAAGGAAATTACCTGGATCCAGTGTTTGTTAAAGAATAAATCAGCGGCGAGAGCAGCTTCGAGGAGCATCATAACGACAGCCAAGATGGTGTACTAAGAGAGAGAGAGAGAGAATGAGTTATTACTAGTATATAGGGATTTAGGTAAGCAATGTATAGATAGATGGATATTTGAAGAGAGAGAGAGAGAGAGAGAGAGAAGCAGAGGCAAGTACGAAGCAGAGGAAGCAGGGGCTGTTGATCTCGGCAGCAACGCATCCGGCGAGGAGAAGCAGGCAGTAGAAGAGGCCGGCAGCCATGAGGGCGCAGACGAACCTGGGGTGGGCGAGCAACTCAAGGAGAGGAGTTAATAACCAACCAAGGGAGGGGCGATCGATGTGATGTGATGTGCGGGAGGGGAACTAAGTAGGTACCAGAGGTCGGGGAGTAGGTCTTGGAGGTGGAGATGGTGGTGGCGCGCCCAACGGGAGAGGATCCATGCGGCGTAGAGTAGGGCGGAGACAGCGGCGAAGGCCTGGAGGAAGGCGAGGAACTTGAAGAGGAAGGCCAGGCAGCAGTGGAGGCCGCCGCCGGCGCTCCGACGAGCACGACCCATCACCCACGATTGCGGCGGCGGCGGCGGCGGCGACGACTTACTTGGGTTTTCTGTTGAGACAGGAGGAGGGGGAGGAGAGGAGGACGACGAGCCCAGCCTTGATTGAGCCTTGTTGGAGTTAGAGCCAAGCCAACGCCAGGAGAGAGACAGAGACGCAGGTTTGCTGCTGCCGCGCTGGCACCCCAATCCTATTCCTAGCCCTTCTTTCTAGTTGTTGTAGGATTAAGTCCATATTGACTCCCTCAAATATAGTACATGATTCGTATCCTCCAGACACATTGAGAAAACTTCCTTATTTTATAAATGAATCATCACAAAAACGATAATCAAAAGTAGGCCTCTACCACAACACCATGTACTTTGGCTTTAAGATTACAGTTTAGCGCTTCACTTAATAGTAGGATTAGATCTATAATTACTTTCATAGCCTTAGCGTCGATGGCCCATCTAGTTTTTAATGTGAAATCCAAACGTACGTTATTTCAAGTGACTGAAAACTGCACCTCTTTGTTTTTAATTGTATAATGTTGCTTGTAGAAATAAAATGTACTACTAAATCACTACCTGCAATCCAAATGTTTTTTTTATTGAATACGTGATCCAAATGGTTTGACCAGAGCTATTAGCCTTGTCGGCTTGTCGCCAGCCAAAAGTAAAAATTAAATATTTATCGGACCATGTCATGCCATAAAAGTATTGCAGGGATAGTCATTATGGAAAATTAAATACGATAGGGTTAATTATTGTCATGAATTATCCACTTGATTATATATATACGGGGGACTAATTAAGTAGTTTAATAAATACAGTTTCTCCATTTCAACATATAACACGTTTTAGTCTTTAACACGAGTATTAAGAAGAGGAGTAAAATAGTAGTACTTGGTTATCTTTTTGAAATGAGTATGGTATTGTTCAGTGATAAGAGTCATAAGTAATAAACCGCTATATTTGGGAGAAAATTTGAACTTATATTTTGAGACAAAATAAATGGTTATGAGAGAAAAGCATTTTTTTTTGTTTGAAACCGTATTTTTTTAGAAACATGGACCAAATACCTGAAAAAAAAGTGACATGAATGGTTATGAGAGAAAAGTATTTTTTTTGTTTGAAACCGTATTTTTTTAGAATCATGGACCAAATCTCTATTATTATATATTATTATAAAAATTGAAGATGTTTTTGCCGGTATTTTGGTACGTCAACCGTATTTTACTCGGTTTTTAAGTTTGTTTGCTTTGGAAATATAGTTCCGTGTTTGAGTCGGATTCTAGGATCGTTTACTTTTGGAAATACAAAAGGAGTTGGATAAGAAATCTCTTTAGAAAAATTTACATGCTAACTTGAGATGAAAGTCGGACTCCTAATTGCAGCTAATGATTTTCTAAAAAAAATATCCAAGCGAATTCCCACATTGAATTTTATCCTAGCTAAACCGTATAACAATAATAAGATTAAAATAACATTCGCCCGTTGCAACTCATAGACATTTTCTTTTCTAGTTATTATAAAAATTGAAGATGTTTTTGCCGGTGCTTTGGTACGTCATCTGTGTATAAGTCGATTTTTAAGTTCATTCGCTTTTGAAATTATAGATCCGTATTGAGTCGGTTTTTAAGTTTATTTGTTTTTGGAAACACAAATAGAGTTGTATAAGAAATCTTTTTAAAAAAACTCGCATACTAACTGGACATGATCAGACTCCTAATTGTAACTCATTATTTTTTAAAATATATATATATATCCAAACAAATTCTCACAGTGAATTTTAACTTAATTAAACCGCATACCAATAAAAATATTAAAATAACCTTCACCTATTCTTCACCTATTGTAACGCACGGTCATTTTTTTTAAGCTGAGCAAAGCTGGGTGCCAAAGCCCAAATGTGAGTGAGGGGAAATAATAAAAAGGAGAGAGATAATGCTGGTAACGCGTGGAGTGGAGAGTGGAGAGGCATGGGAGGCATGGCAGCTGCTCCTTTTCCAGGCAAATGCTTCCTCCTCCTCCAACAAGTACCCAAGCCATCGGCGGCGCTGGCCGCAGCTCACCCATTACTACTAGGACGCCGTCGGCTGGCTGCCCTCCCGGAGACGGCCGCAGCGTGCGTGGCCGCCGCGGGGTTGGTGGGAGTCGCAGCCAGCTTGCTAGTGGGCAGGGCGGCGGAAGGAGCACGACGAGAAGAGGAAGAGGAGGAGGAGGAGGAGTGCTCGGAGTGCGGCGGGACGGGGCTGTGCCCGCGGTGCAAAGGGGAAGGGTTCGTGTTCAAGCAGCTGCCGGAGGAGGCGGCCAGCAGGGCCCGGAAGGCGGCCAAGAACATGGCCACCAGATACACTTCCGGGTACGGTACTACTCACAATTTCTCCCTACTCCCTAGTAGTAGTAGAGTAGCACTACAATTTCTTTCTGTCAAGTTGCTATATATGCCTTTGCATTGCAGGCTGCCCACCAAGTGGACCTACTGCAACCGCTGCTCCTCCACTCGCTCCTGCACTACCTGCGGCGGCTCCGGCGCAATCCCTAAGGCATCATCACCCACTACTACTACTCTGTAATCTTATTACGTTTCCATCAATATAGCCTCTGCCTCCAAGAGTTTGTTTTTTAATACTCACTTCACAAATTAAGTGTTTTTCCCACAAGGCCGCCCATGAATTGAATCACCAGACACCATATACACACAAGAATTAGTATTACATCTACTCCCTTTGTATGTTTATCGTATATATGCAGTCAGCTGAAGTTTTCTAGGTAATTCATGCAGCTTTAGATATATCAAATTCATTTCACATGCATATTTGTCTTCAGAATAAAATGTATAAACAAGATGCCCAACGATACATTCCTATAATTTAATCGTCTCCGCATATATCACAAGAATCTTTAATTATCTATTTCTTCACTGCCAAACAAACAAACATTTGTGATCCAAGCATATGCCTCAAATTAAGTAGGATTATTTTAGTTCTTTAGATAATGGAATAGAATGTGTGATTCCAAAATTGCATTGGTCATGGATTATACAATAAGAGTTCTTGATATCGGCTAAAAAGGGAGAAAAATAGTCCATTTTCCTCAATTATGAGTCAAGTTTAATTCGCATCACTAGCACAAAACTGGGTACGTAGCATCCTCTCACTTTTAAAACCAGTACAAGAGTCCCTTGATAGTATTGACATTTGTTTCTAACTGATGTGGCGCATACTAGCACATTGACTTTGTCTTTATCCGACGTGACTCTTACGCGCAATTATAGTCAGGGGAAAAATATAGTTTGCTCCACATATCGGTGATAATTCAACCTTAAAAATTAAAAGAATTTATGGCACCCACATATCACTCACATGCAAAAAAACCTTTCTTACCCATCTCTTTCCCTCTTCTCCTACGGACCGACGAGCTCCTCCCGCCCCTGGCTCTCGATGGGGCACCCAAGAACTTATTTATTGGCGCCACCGTTCTTGAGGAACTCCTGCCTAGCACACACTAGCGCATGTGAGGCAGTTGAGCTATTGGTGCGGACGTTGCACGCCTTAGTGAGTTGCTTTTAGGAGCTTAGACATGGTCACTATCATCACGTCCTTAGCACTTCATTGATCTCGACGATGAGATGCTTCCAAGAGCTTGGGATGCTATAGGCTTAGTAGTTGGCCATCGTCCAGATGGCGTTGTTGACGGCAAACTCAGCATGGAGGTGGGGCAAAGGTGGCTGTTGATCGCCCACTCATGGATCTACGAGAACCCCTTCACATACGATGGCTCACACATCGTTGAAGTGGAAGCCTGATCACCGTTGGGCCCTCCATGTTGCCACCATGTCAAGGTTGTTGTTGTTCACCGCCTCTTACTGCTGGTATACGGACGATGTTGTTCCCATACCCACCGTTGCGTGCCAAGATCGCCGTGCGACACAAGTGCGCAAGCGTGGGGTGGAGTCCTTGCGACTGGAGCTACTAGATAGAAAATGGGGAGAATGGGAGAAGAGGGGAGAGAGGGGTGATGACATGTGAGTTCCATTAGAATTATTTTAGAGTAAATTTCACAAAACTACAGTTATTTTGATCAAATTATCATAAAACTACAGATTTAAGTCGCTATATAACAAAACTACAGATTTAACACAAGATTTATCACAAAAGTACATATTTAAGGCCAACTATCACAAAACTATATATTGAATACTAGAGTTATCACAAAACTACATATTCTAGAGCTTAAATCCCTACCACTACTGTTATGTTAGAGTGATAAATGTGTAGTTTTGTATTTAACATGATGCAAAACATGAACTGTTGTGATAATTTTATTACTAAATTTGTAGTTTGGTGATCTTCCACCTTAAATCTATAGTTTTTTTTTGATAAATTTGGTTCTAAATCTGTATTTTGTGATACACCTTCTTAAATATGTAGTTTTGTGATAGTTTTGTCAAAGCACGTATAGTTTTGTAAAATTTACTCATTATTTTACCTTTGACCGGACATCCACTGATATGTGGGACCAACATATATATTTAAGATTTTTTTTTCTAACTGGACAACCAGAGACATGTGGGTCCTATTGTTGTTTTTATTTTTATTCTAGTACTGCCACGTACACTTTGACCGGACATCCACTGATATGTGGGACCAACATATATATTTAAGACTTTTTTTTCTAACTGGACAACCAGAGACATGTGGGTCCTATTGTTGTTTTTATTTTTATTCTAGTACTGCCACGTACACAATACATAGGATAAAGATGAAGTCAACACGCCACATAGACGCTAGGTTAATTGAGACAGACCAAACAGTGAATATTGTTGAGGGGCTCGATTTGTACCGGTTTTGCGGTTGAGGATTGCGAATGAAAATGACTGGCTCATAGTCGAGGGATCCAATGTGGACTTTTATAAAAAAAAGGTAAGGCCCATGAAGGCCCAGCCTTGGCCAGATGAGATGAGATGAGAAGCGTGTGCATGTGCGAGGTGGATTCTAATCACTCAAGTGGATGTCCACTCATTTAGTGCATGTCAACTAAATGATCATAAAAAAATTTCAAAAAAATTACAAGATACATTGATATATAATATATCACTACACAAACATGTATTGACGCGAAAAACACACACTGGCCTGGGAGATCTGCTTAGCTCCAATGCAGGTCCAAAGGTTGGTGACATGCAGGCGTGCCAGTCAGTTTGATCCTGTAACTGACAAGATATGATATGTAAACAGTAGATCAAATAGCCGATCGGCTGACAAGCCGATGGTGTGATTCCAGCCGATGCCGATACCAGCCGATGTCGATAGGGTTTTGAGCAATCGGCTATATGTCCAATGTAGATAATGATATAAAGGCGATCGACTGATGATGATAAATAATAATAATATAATCCAGTATAAACCGATCAGCTAGCAATATGATATAATAGAACAAGTACTGATCCGAAGGTTAAAGCATACATCGGTTGGAGGTCTGATGTCATAAAATTCACAAGATTAGATAAAATAGTGAAACCTTTGTTCCAATCGGCTAAACCCAACTTGTATGTAATCCTTATAAGCCAATGCAACGTCCAGATAACTTATCGGCTAGCACCCTGATAAAACACTAGCATGAATCTATCGGCTTAACAAGACTTATATTATCAACAATAATCTAGTAGGTCGAACCTAACCGATGCAGCACGAGATTGTATATGATAATCTAATACTCGATGAGCCGATAGATCTGTTTAATGTGATGGATATAACAAATCTATTTACAACAACATTGTGATGGTAGAGATATATCGGCTAAGATAGAAGATCAGACCTAACCGAGACAGTCCCAACTAAACCGATGTGTCTCTAAACACAATGCAATTAGAGATAGAATTGAGATATCAGGTAGGCAAATATATCAACCAAACCAGAGCGATCAAAGAGATTGAAGCGATGCAGCCTTGAACAACACCAACGTAACTGATAGATTCACTAGGGCCGGCGGAACATAGGACTTACCCCTTCGCTAGAGATCGAACTGAACCGATGCAGCCCCGTGTCAGGTGCCAAATTCCGCCGGATGATAAGTAAAACTATTGATCGAGGGATTGATTACAATGACCATGAGTGTACATATTTATACTCATAGGGAGATACTAGTCCTTATAGGAAAGAAAGAAACTTTCCTAAAGATAAAAGGAAAACATAAAGTCCTTATAGGACACTAAACACAGATTCCTAAAGATAAAAGGAAACTAACAAACTATTCCTAATTAATAGATAACTCGTCATGCCGCATCCTCCTTGAACTCAGTCACTTCTGGATAAGCTTCCTTTAGTAGATTAATTTCCTTAACCGAATATAGTAAGAATCTGACAACTGGCGACTTGATAACTCTCATCGGCTGATCCCAGGACTCTGAAGCTAACACTGACTCTAGGCCGATGGTGACTTCTGTCTTACCAAATTTTGGTGTTAACACATACAACTTAAAATTCAACTTTTATAAGTTGTAACAAAAATAACAAATTTAACTATGAATGTTATAACTATGAATATACGTATACTAATCAGAGTTTGATTTGTTATTTTTGTTACAACTTGTAGAAGTCGAATTTGAACTTGCATGTTTGTGGGGTGATATATTACATATGAATCTATCTTGCCAAATTTTTTGAATTTTTTTCATACCTATTTAGTTGACATGCAACAAATGGGTGGATGTCTCTTGGTGATTAAAAGTGTTTCCCTGTGCACGTGGGCGTTTGAGTGAGGAGGGGGAAATTGGGGGGCGGCCGGCGGCCGGGTGCCCGCAAGTGTCGGCGCGCAAGTCTCGCCACAGCCACAGCGAGAACCCGCATTCGTCGCTCCGACGACATGGGTCAGCATGCACATGCTCCTCCTCCTCCTCCTCCTCTTCCAATGCTATCGCCATCGCCATCTCCGTGCTGCCTACAGCTAGCTTATCGATCGGCATGGGCATGGCGGCCGTCCTGCTCCTCTCCTTTCTCCTCTTGGCCGCCCCCGCCGCGGCCATCAATATCCTCCGGCGCTCCCTCGCCGCGCAGACCAAAGGAGACCTCGCCTCCATCACCGCTGGGAACCCCCTCGTCGCCAATGCCATGAACGACCGCCTCAAGAACCTCACCGACGCATTTGCTCAGCAGATGGGCAAGGAGTTCCACTACTGCATCAAGGACACGTACGTACGATCATTCATTCATTTACCCGCTCCCATCTCCATGCATCTTCCAATTGTTTTTCTTTTCTTTCTTCTCTACATACATACATACATTACAGGGACGACGAGTGGAATATCGCCTTCAATTTCTCCACTGATCCCACCTTCCTCTCCAACTGCATGCAGGCCACCGATGGTACGGTACTTCATTTCAATCCATTATTATATTCCTCCTTCCCTCCCTCCGTCTTATATATTGAGATGAGTATTATATATTATACTCCATTGATTATTAATTTCTCGATTAATATATATATTCGATCGATCGGTCAACAGGAGACGTACCGCAGCGTGTGTGCACCGCCGCTGAGATGAAGTTCTACTTTGAAAGCTTCCTCGACAGCAATGGAAGAAAGAACTACGTGAGGCCCAACAAGAACTGCAACCTCACATCATGGATGGATGGCTGTGAGGCTGGCTGGGCATGCAGTGCAGGCCCGGACCAGAATATCAACTTGCAGGATGCCGTCAACTTCCCTTCCAGAACACTTGATTGCCGAGGCTGCTGTGCTGGATTCTTCTGCCCTCACGGCCTCACTTGCATGATACGTACGCATTCTACTAGTCTACTCTATCATCCATGCATCATCATATCCTGTCAATTAAAAAAATTGCGTACATGTATGTAATACCAAGAGTATTAATTAATTGATCAACGGCTATCTACATATATACATAATGAGTACATGAGGTAGATAGCACAATACCTTACTGCAAATAACACAAATATGGTCCTCTCTCTATACACACACACATAAGATCTTCAAGGGAGACCTTCTCTGGCTTGTTATTTTTTGGAGTTGAGACTTAATTTCAAGATTTACTTCTTGCAGTATACAAACATTCTGATTAGCTACATCCACTATGCATGCAGCTTGCCCTTTGGGAGCATACTGTCCAGAATCTACCTTAAACAAAACCACCGGGATCTGTGACCCGTAAGTACATACTTGCATTTCTCTCCACTCTCCAGTATGTGGAAAGACTCTGGATTGTTTTACCAATATTAAATACTTGGTGCAGATACAACTATCAGCCACCTCCTGGGAAGCCGAATCATACTTGTGGTGGTGCTGATAGATGGGCAGATGTTGTTAGCACCGATGATGTTTTCTGCCCAGCCGGCTTCTACTGTCCAAGCACTATAAAGAAACTCTCTTGTAGTAGTGGGTAATCCTATCTAACAAATGCTTCAATTGTAAACTGACCAACCTCCTATAGAATGGTTCTCATGCTATTACATATGCTACTAATTTTTTAGTTGCTTTAGGTGACAGGAAGCATTTTAAGATTTATGTCCTCGCCAAATACTGACAGATTTATGTTGCTTGCACCTTTGCAGTTTCTATTGCAGGAAGGGATCAACTTCCCAAACCAGTAAGTTATATATATGCCAGACCCAATGGCTACTTCTCTACTTTAACCATGTGACAATGTATGTGTGTGAATCGGAATGACACATATCTAATACAATAAATTTGTACATACTCCCCATCTTAATGAAATTTGATCGGCCTTTCCTTCGGCCGACCCGGCAAAAATAAATAAATGTAACCACATACTTCACTGTTTTTTTTGGTATACATCTCCTGGGTGTTACCTGCTTCTTGAAATTGCCAGCTTCTGAGAGTAGTTGCTTTATTTTCTTAACTGCAGAATGCTTCCACAAGGGCAGCTGTAAACCAAACTCTGTAAATCAGGACATTACAATATTTGGTGCATTGCTTGTGGTAAAGTACAACTGTAGTGTGCTCAATAGTACTATGATTGTTCCAATCTAGCTATGAAGTTGAGCTTACTCTGCTCTTTTACGACTCTGTAGGGTGCCTTGAGTTTAGTACTGTTGATCATTTACAACTTCTCAGGGCAACTTCTGACCAACCGAGAGAAAAAGCAAGCAAAATCTAGGGAGGCTGCAGCAAGACACGCAAAAGAGACTGCCATGGCTCGTGAAAGGTGGAAATCAGCTAAAGATGTTGCCAAGAAGCACGCCGTTGGGCTGCAGTCATCGCTGTCCCGCACATTCTCGCGCAAGAAAACTCTTAGGACACACGAGCCATCCAAAGGAGCGGTTGAAACTGATGTGGAGCCATCGAAAGGATCAGGAGAAAAGAAGAGTAATCTTACTGACATGATGCGCTCGCTTGAAGAGAACCCGGAAAAAGGAGAAGGCTTCAATGTGGAAATAGGAGAAAAAAAGAAAACTAAAGGGAGGCATGCACACACTCAGAGCCAAATTTTCAAGTATGCATATGGACAGATTGAGAAGGAAAAGGCAATGGAACAGCAGAATAAAAATCTGACCTTTTCAGGTGTGATATCTATGGCCACCGATGAAGATATCAGGACAAGACCTAGAATTGAGATTGCTTTCAAAGACCTTACTCTAACCTTAAAGGGGAGTAAGAAAAAACTGTTAAGGTCTGTGACCGGAAAGCTTATGCCTGGTCGGGTAGCTGCTGTGATGGGCCCATCAGGTGCAGGGAAGACCACATTCTTGAGTGCAATTGCAGGTAAGGCAACTGGATGCGAGACAACAGGTATGGTACTTATCAATGGGAAAATGGAACCCATCCGTGCGTACAAGAAAATCATTGGCTTTGTCCCACAAGATGACATTGTCCATGGGAACTTGACTGTTCAGGAGAATCTTTGGTTTAATGCACGATGCAGGTACTATTTTTGTAGTAGTAGTATATTTCAATAGATCCTGTGATGGATTCACTAGTGGCTAGGGAACTTGGACTGATGAATATATTTTATCTTGCACAGGCTTTCTGCTGACATGTCAAAAGCTGACAAGGTTCTTGTTGTGGAAAGAGTTATCGAGGCTTTGGGACTGCAAGCAGTTCGTGATTCTTTGGTTGGAACTGTCGAACAGCGTGGCATCTCTGGTGGCCAGCGTAAACGAGTAAATGTTGGGCTAGAAATGGTCATGGAACCCTCTGTGTTGATTTTAGATGAGCCAACGTCTGGTTTGGACAGCTCTTCGTCTCTGCTTTTACTTCGTGCACTACGGCGGGAAGCTCTTGAAGGTGTGAACATCTCTATGGTGGTTCATCAACCCAGGTAAGGTTGTTTGCTCTTTTTCTCCACAACTTTATATGCACCACTCACTCATGCAACTTTATGCTGAGTTTATTTTCTTTTGCAGCTATACATTGTATAAGATGTTTGATGATTTGATACTTCTCGCGAAAGGTGGCTTGACGGTTTACCATGGACCTGTGAAGAAAGTGGAGGAATACTTTTCAGGATTGGGGATTGTTGTCCCAGATCGTGTGAACCCGCCAGACTACTACATAGACATCTTGGAGGGAATTGTGAAGCCAAACGCAAATGTTGCAGTTAATGCCAAAGATCTCCCTCTGCGATGGATGCTGCACAATGGGTATGAAGTTCCACGGGATATGCTGCAGAGTGGTTCTGATGCAGAATCGTCGTTTAGGGGAGGAGGGGATCTTACCCCTGGCGGTGACACTGGGCAGTCTATTGCTGGTGAAGTGTGGGGCAATGTCAAGGACATAGTTGGGCAGAAGAAGGATGAGTATGATTACAACAAATCTTCTCAAAACTTATCTAATCGATGCACTCCTGGCATTCTCAGGCAGTACAAGTACTACCTGGGGAGGTAAAAGAATGGAGTATTTTTTCTTACTATATATCACTGCCATTCTTAAATATGTATATATAAGCATTACTCTTGTTTTCTTCATTCTGTTCAGGTGTGGCAAGCAAAGGCTCCGTGAAGCTAGAATACAAGGCGTTGACTATCTGATCCTGGGCCTTGCTGGTATATGTCTAGGGACATTAGCTAAAGTGAGCGACGAGACGTTTGGAGCACTCGGTTACACATACACTGTCATTGCCGTCTGTAAGTTTCTCAGCCCATCCTGGAAAGGAGTCTTTTTTATCCATGAATTATTTTCAGAGAAATAATGTTTATATAATACGTAATGAGAAAATAAGTAAGTAGTAAAAATAAGGTAATAAGCGTGGGATATATTAATTGCAGCTCTGCTGTGCAAGATTGGAGCGCTGAGATCATTCTCTCTGGAGAAGATACACTACTGGAGGGAGAGAGCATCTGGAATGAGCTCGTTGGCGTACTTCATGTCGAAAGACACAATAGATCACTTCAACACGATCATCAAGCCGATCGTTTACCTGTCCATGTTCTACTTCTTCAACAACCCAAGGTCGTCGATATGGGAGAACTACGTAGTTCTTGTGGCGCTGGTGTACTGCGTGACAGGGATCGGCTACACATTTGCGATATTCTTCCAGCCAGGATCGGCACAGCTGGTAAGGTAGTACGTACTGTTGAATTAGTACGTAGTATATATGATGGATGATGAATGATTAATTGATTAAGCAATTAAAATGATGGGGATGGATCAGTGGTCAGCGCTGCTTCCGGTAGTGCTGACTCTGATAGCAACGCAGCAGAAGGACACCTTCTTCGCGAACCTGTGCTACACCAAGTGGGCGCTGGAAGGGTTCGTGATCGCGAATGCGCAGAGGTACTCGGGCGTGTGGCTCATAACGCGATGCGGCTCCCTCCTCAAGAGCGGCTACGACATCAACGACAGGTTCCTCTGCATTCTCGTCCTCGCCGCCAACGGTGTCCTCTTCCGCTGCGTCGCCTTCTTCTGCATGGTCATCTTCCAGAAGCACTGATGCCTGCCTGCCTGCCTGTCTCCTCTACTGTACATCTATCTCCATCTATTATACTCTCTCTAGTACTACTGTACTTTCTACTCTCTAGCTAGCTAGCAGCAGCATCTGTGAGCATGTACTGTACTTGTGTATCCTACTAATGAATCCTAGCTAAGCTAGTAGATCGATCCTATCCTATGTAAGATCTTACGAGTTGACAAAAAAAAAGGAAAGGAATGGCCCATTTAAGTAGTAGTAGGACTGATATTGGGCCGCCCGGCGCGGATGGGATGGCCCATGAACTTGGACGCGCACGTGCGTCTCGCGTGTTCACAGTAGACAGACACAGAAGACAGATGTACTACTACTGTAAGTAAGCGAAAGCGCCAAGCTGTCAGTCAGTCATCATCCATCCTCTTCCGTTTCTTCTTCCGGAATTTCAACTCAACGCCCGCCGGCGGTCGATGCAATTTCCCTTCCCAATTTGGGGGTAGCTGCTAGCTTCTACCTTCCAGATCAGATCAGATCTCCATGGCGGCGGCGGCGGCGGCGGCGGCGGAGGACAAGTTCGTCCTGCGCTCCGGCGTCCGCACCGGCCTCAAGCGCGAGTTCGCCTTCGCCATCGCCTCCCAGGCCGCCCTCTCTTCCACCCTCGGCCGCACGCGCTCTTCATCCTCCGCATCTGCCACCCCCAACTCCAAGCGCCCGCGCCGCCCCCCCTGCACGCCGGAATCGGATCCCCCCGTTCTCGCCCTCCGCGCTCACACCCCCGACCCCGATCCCCACACCTCGCCCAGGCGGATCACTCGCTCCATGCTCCTCAACCCCTCCGCCCCCCTTCTCCACCACCACCCCAAGCTTCAGCTTCAACCCCGCCGCTTCACCAGGTCACTCTTGTCGTCTCGGACTAGCAACTCCTCCTCCTCTTCACCTTCTGCCTCCACCTCCACCTCCAAGATGGAGCTCAAGATGTCCAAGAAGATTTCCTTCACTAGGATCCCCAGGAACCTCAAGGACCTGCTCGCCACTGGCTTGCTCGAGGGCCACCCCGTCAAGTACATCATGAGGAAAGGCAAGGTGCTACTCTACCGTTTCCTCATTTCACTTCATCTCTTGCTTAAATCATTTCTTTTCATTTCTATACTGCATTTCTACTATCTAGTCTAGTACTATAAATACAAATACGTACAACTCTGGAAATCCAAACCTCTACATACATACACTCATTTTATTACTATATTCTCCTACTTCGCTTTTAACTTCTTGTAGCAATACTATCTGTCAATTTTTATCCCCAAAACACCAAGCTGGCTCTACGTTACCAAAACGAGGCCACTGTTTCAACTGGCTCCTGAATTTATTAGAGCATTGGGAGCTTGTTTGCAGCCATTAATTTGCTCCTCTTCTTTTTCAGCGAGCAGTGCTTCGTGGAGTCATTAAACGTGTCGGCATACTGTGCTCTTGTTCCTCCTGCAAAGGACGAACCGTGAGCCCCCTCCCTCCATCCTGCATTATTACCTTATTATACTACATTGCAACACTTATCTATGCCATCTATTCAAATTGCAACCAATAAATCTACCATGACTTGCAGGTTGTTTCCCCTTATTATTTCGAGGTGCATGCTGGGAGTACTAAAAAGCACCCCTCCGACTACATTTTCCTAGAAAATGGAAACAATCTGCATGATATATTGAGGGCGTGTTCTGATGCTACCTTAGACATGCTGCAATCTGCAATACAGAATGCGATTGGCCCAGCTCCTAAGAAGAGGACATTCAGATGCCAAACTTGCAAAAGTGAGCTGTCCTCTTGTTTGCATCAAGTGCTCTTCCATTTCACACTCCCAACTTTTACTAAATGTCTAATCTTTCAGGTTCATTCGCTACCCTTCGCACTGGGAAATTTGCTTTGTTATGTGATTCATGTCTTGAGTCCAAGGGATCTCAAAACAGTACCAGGTAAGCTTTGTCACAGTTCCACATTTTGCCAGCGACAGAAAATTTGGAGCTCTATTCCTGATGTTGCTATGGTCTCCCCACACTGGTGATCCCTTGTTATATTGTTGTTTAGGACATCAAAGATTGGCCGGAATCCTACTTCCTCTGCTAGGAGATCCAAGAATGAATCCCCAGGTTCAAAGTATTGCAATTCATCTGCTAGGGGATCCAAGAATGCATTCCCAGGAGTGAAGACTACTAGCACGGGAAGGATTACAAGAAAGTAGGTGTTATAGATAATGAATGATTTAGTTTTGTTTCTCACATTTTATTCATCCCTGTTTTGGCTGTTTTATAACAATACAGGGATAAGGGATTGCATAAGTTGGCTTTCATGAGTGGTGTTCTGCCAGAGGGTACCGATGTTGGCTACTATGTTGGTGGAAAGGTTATTATCCTGTTTTCTATTATAAACTTCACTTTTCATCCAGTATGATTGTTGTTTCCTTATTAACACTGGCACTGGCAACTTTCTAGAGGTTGTTGGATGGCTACATAAAGGAATTTGGAATCTACTGCCATTGCTGCAACACAGTGGTAAATTATATTCTTTTTCATTGGGTACATACATGTTTTTCTAATGGATGAACCTGAAAACAACTCAACATGGACATCATCCTAGACCTTTTGTTTCTATGTTAATACATATCTGTAATCAGACATGAAAAATATCTATACTTAATCTAAACACGTTTTATACAATTGTGCATGATGAACAGGTTAGCCCTTCGCAGTTTGAAGCCCATGCTGGCCGTGCTGCTCGACGCAAACCGTGAGTTTATTCTTGTAATGTATTTTGTTGGGGCACCTTCCAAACTCTCACTCTTTTTGCTAACACTACTGCAGGTACCACAACATATATATGTCAAATGGTGTTTCATTACATGAACTGTCAGTTTCACTTTCAAAAGGTCGAAATATGTCAAACAGACAAAGTGATGACTTGTGCAGCATTTGTTCAGATGGTGGGGAGCTTCTCCTTTGTGATTCCTGCCCAAGAGCTTTTCACAGAGGTAATGGAATTATGCCTAACCAGTATGACAAGTTGCTTTTGTGCCTGGTCAAAGCTACCTTCCAGTCTTTCTGGACATGTGGTCATCCAGATATATGTTAGCAGTAGGAGCACATGGATTTACTACATCTTGATGTTTCTAATCTTAAATCAGGTGTGACGATGCCCATCCTTACAGTTGAGCTGCAACACTCTGTTTTTAGGTCTAAAATCTAAATTGTACATAGTGATTCTTCTTGGATTTATCATTTGGTCGTTTTTATGATACTGATTTTATAATTCATGTTCCGCTGTTCCTTACCATCATATTTGGAATCCATAAAGTTGTTATTTTTGCTATCTGGTGTTTATTAGAAATTATACGTCATACATCCTTTTCAATGACACTGTATAATATTGCCTAGGCCAGGTTCTCATTACCGCGCATGCCTTTATGTTGCAGAGTGTGTTGGCTTTACTACTATCCCAAGGGGAACTTGGTGTTGTCGGTATTGTGAGAATAGACAACAGAGAGAAAGTTCTTTGGCATATAACCACAATGCAATAGCTGCTGGGAGGATTGACGGAATTGATCCAATGGAACAAATATTTACAAGGTCCATACGCATTGCCACAACACCAGTGACTGGATTTGGTGGCTGTGCACTGTGCAGGTAAGTTCATCCATTGGTCTTCTATTCAGTCAGCAATATTATGCATGTTTGTCCTTTTTATGCAGTATATGTTCTGTCCATTTTCCATATAAATTATCCTCTGCCAACATATGAAATTCGGCAAGTTGTTACCAGATAACTTTGCCTATAGCATATATGACTTCTGGAGCTAGGGAAGCTCAATATCCAAATGTTTCTTTTCTTTTCTTATTTCCACTTCATTGGACGCTTCTTCATTGATCTGTATGGTGAATGCTCAGCAGTGCAAACATTCAAATTGAATAGTATGTCAGGATTCATGGACAAGCAGAGTGTATTAAGTCGAAGTAGGCCAGATTATGATGATGAGCTGGCAGTACTAGACCAGTGAGTCAAATCTGCCAGTGTATTTGGAGGGTATCAGAGGGAAGTTTGTAGCAACTGATAGAACATAAAGAAAATGAAATGAAATCCTGATTCCTCTCCTGTTCTTCTACCCCCTCTCTGATTCTATCCCCTACCAAGTTTCTTGCTGATTCTTGATATCTTAGAATTGGTCAGATCAGAATGATTCCTCTGTTTCCGGTTATGGGAAGTTGTCCAGTTCACATTTTGGTGCTCATTTCTCGACTGATTGTTAAGTACTGCTACAAAAGAGGACTGTGAACACTCGTTGCACATACCAAATCAGACATATTTGTTTTCATTGCATTCTGAGTGTCAATCTGACTGACCTAGGATACTGCTTTGTAATTTCTCTACGCTGTTAATTGGGATTTATTTCTCCAATGAGACTTTTCTTTCTTGTCCATAATATATGGAGTTTGTCCTTTTTTTTGTGCAGGCTCCATGATTTCAGCAAAAAGAAATTCAGTGCGAGAACTGTGCTGCTCTGTGACCAAGTATGTTTGCAATCTCATATATCATACTCACCAGTGTGAATTCTGATATTGATGTTGTTTTTCATGATTCATGTGTATCGTGTTATCATGATGCTTTTGAGCTGTTCCAATCATACATTGTTATTTGTCCAGTGTGGGAGGGAATTCCATATTGGTTGCCTGAAGGAACACAATATGGCTGATTTGACGGTGATATTCCTTGCCTGATATATATCAATAAGTTTTCAGCATAAACCAAGATCGATATTAATATGGGCTGTTGCAGGCCTTGCCTGAGGGAGCATGGTATTGTACTGCGGACTGCGTTAGGATCAGCGAGACACTGAAGGACTTACTTAGCCGTGGAGCAGAGCCTATTTCTTCTGTAGATGTAGAAATTATAAAGAGGAAATATGAACAGAAAGCTCTAAATAAAGATGGAGATCTTGATGTTAGATGGAGGGTTTTGAAGGACAAAAGTTCAGCAGACAGTAAATTGGTTCTCTCCAAAGCAGTTGCAATTTTCCATGTGAGTTCCATGGCTTGATACTGGGTGATAAGCACTTAGTGATTGTGTTGTCCTATAGTTGTTTTTTCATTTGTACAATTTTTAGTAAACTATGGGTAGGGTGTTGCAAAGAGTACATCAACTTATCAAAAGGATGGCATGTGTATTTTTAATTCATAACCTTGCAACTGACCTAGAAGTAGGGATAGTGACGTATGTTTGGTATGACATTATTAGTATCGGTTGCAATTTCCAACCTGTTTGGTATTTTGACACATAAAACGAACAATAATTACAAATTCTGCTTATTATATCTATATTCAGATGTCAAGCATGGAAAGTAAGAGTCGAAATTACGATGTGTGTGTGTCTGAACCAAGGCACTTCTCCTTTTATCCACAGCAGCTAATTACCTAATCTACTGTTCCACTTGGCACTTCTGCAGGAATCATTTGATCCCATTATCCAAATTGCTACTGGGCGAGACCTTATTCCAGCCATGGTTTACGGGTATGATGGACTACTGTCTACCTCATTTATGTATAATGCTGAAGACAAAAGTTTTAGACATAATAAAAAAACAAAAGTTATATGCTTCTATTTCCAGGAGGAGTGTAAGGGATCAAGATTACACAGGAATGCATTGTGCTGTATTAACTGTTGGGTAAACTTCTAGTACCTTTTTATAAAAAAATAAATGGCATTGTCTATCAATTGGTTGCACATCTATAATTTAAGTTCTGTTGATGCAGCAACACTGTAGTATCTGCGGGTCTTTTCCGTGTTATGGGTAGTGAAATTGCGGAGCTACCCTTGGTTGCTACAAGTAGAGATAGTCAAGGCTTGGTAAGTTCGTATCTGTTTTTGTTTGAGAACTGAGATTATGAGATATGTGGGTATATATTATCAATCAAGTGGTAGTATTTCTTACCTATGTACTATGTGGCACCAAAGAAGTGCAAATTTGATTTTGAAGCTAGTGCATGGAGCCTGAACGAATTATCACTTTAGATCAGTGCATACACATACTTCGGATGTTATAGTGGACGCATCTACACCCTTTCCTTTTACACATATTTCAGTGCTATTAGATTTTTTTACTCCATCGGTGCATCCCTTAGCTCCCATCCCTTCATCCTAATTTGGCATTTCTATTATTTAAATAAAGAGTACATGATAGCAAATGAGAAAATAGAAAAGAAAACATAGCCTGTGTTAGGATTGTCAATGAGCCGAGCTCAACTGCTCAAGTGAGCTTACCCATCTAGGCTCTAGCTTGCCTGCTGAAAACAAAATGAGCTCCTAAACTTACCATGCCATGCACTGCACACCCGGCTTTCATGGGGAAAAATAATGAGCAACAATGCATTGACCCAGGCACACACTATGCCACACATGACATGCTGCTTTTGTTGGGAAGTTGTTGGATGGCTGGTCCATTGGACTAGCATGGTGCTCTGGACCAGGGTTCAAAATTTCAGTTTTGCTATTCCTATCGGGAGGCACCGATAGGACCGAAATGTCCAAAACTGCAGTCCGAAATAATTTGATTCTTTGAAAAAAAAACTGGTCAATTTTGAAGTAAATTTGCTAAATTCACGAAAAAATTGAAAAATTCCAACAAATTTCGGGCGAAATAATTTCGTATTGAGGGGAGGGGGGGTCCGATGGACCCGAAATTTCGGAAATTTTGAACCCTGCTTTGGAATGGAAAATTTTAATGAGAGGGAAGGACCAAAGGCTGAGGCTTGCTGAGCTATCAAGCTCCGCTAGTAGGAACGCGAGCTCAGCATTCAGCTTGAGCCCAGTTTGAATCCTCGGCGATTCAAGCTCGTGAACTAGGGGCTCCTTTGAATGAAAGGATCTATAGAGGAATTTCATTGGATTCAAATACTATAGAAAATTTTCCTATTTGGCCCTTTGATACAAAGGATTGGAACTTTTCAAATCCTATGAAATTCCTGTGGAATGTCAATTGCATGAAGATTTTGGAGGAAACTTAGCAAGAGTTTCAACTTCTTGAAAAAATTTCTTTGAGTCTCTCTCTCATCTAATTCCTATGTGTTTTCTCGTGGCCTAATCAAACGACCATTCCTATGTTTTGCAATCCTCTGTTTTGTACCTGCATTCCTATCGAAATCCTGTGTTTTCCCTATTTCTCCGTCTTTTAAATCTTGTTTTTCAAAGGAACCCTAAATAGCTTTTTCATGGCCCTAGCCTGTTTGCATTCACGAGAGCATGGCAGACATATTAACAAGCAAATTTCACAAAACCTTAGCTTTGTGATTTCACTGCCCTAGCCTGTGTGCATTCACGAGAACATGGAGAATATGCTAATTAGTAAAACATGTTGAAGTGCTATTATGGCTTCCTTAAAGTTGCACCCTTTTGTTTGCGCTTGAATTGACTTCTTTTTTGGTTGTATTGATGATTCTTTCTCCCTTGATGTCGCTGAACTGAACAGGGGTATTTCCAAGCGCTGTTTGGCTGCATAGAACGATTGTTGGCATCTCTGAAGGTGAAACATTTTGTGCTGCCAGCTGCAGATGAAGCGGAGTCTATCTGGACACAGCGGTTTGGATTCGTGAAGATAACCCAAGACGAGGTTGAAAAACGTTTTCATAGACTGTCACCGTGACGTGCGAGGCGTGTGTATCAATTGGGAGGTTGCACTGACAAATTTTGTGTTGTGCACTGCAGCTGCGTGAGTACCTCAAGGGTGGGCGAACAACCGTGTTCCAGGGAACATCAACCCTGCACAAGCTGGTCCCAAAATTGGATGGCTAGCTCTGTGAATATATGCATTGGAATGTGCAGGGAGCGTTGAGGCAGGTCCTTGCCACCCTGATATGAAGCGTGGTGAAGATAGGGACGGGACGGGACGGGAACCCTAAGATAAAAAATCCCTTCTGTGAAAATTAATGGGTGCGTCCCTTTTTGATATTTTTTATTTGTCAGTGGTGGAAAAGAATATCGGGAGGATGTGTTTTCTTGTTTGTTTGTTTTTTTACATTTGCGGCAGGAGTTGTCTGATGTCGTGTGAGTGTGTGGTTAGTCTAGCTAGCTATTCATCATACTTCATGCAGTTGGTACTTGTTTTGTGGATAAATCTGTTGTTTTGCATACTTCCCTGCCTACTGTGATGCTTTTCCGTCGGATTCTGATGTTCTCCTGCCACTGTTGCTCTACAACCCCATCGGACCATTAGCGAAATTTTGAATTCTAAATTTTAATTTTAAATTGATTTTAGGGTATTTTTTATTGAAATTTTGAATTCTAAATTTTAATTTTAAATTGATTTTGGGGTATTTTTATTGTAGTTTATTTTTATCATTTGTTTTTTTAGCTAAGAATGCTTGTACAGAAGTTTTACCCATAAATTATATTTTTAATCAGTAACAAGATGATTACTCCACCTTAGCTTATAATAAATACTCCCTTTATTTTATATTATAAGTCATTTGACTTTTTTCCTAGTCAAACTTAAAAAAATTAGCAATATTTAAAAATATCAAATTAGTTTTATTAAATCTAATGTTGAATATTCTCTTATAATATGTTTCTTTTGTATTAAAAATACTACTATATTTTTCTATAAATTTGGTCAAACTTAGAAGTTCGACTAAGAAAAAAGCCAAGCTTATGAAAGGAGGTTATAATATGAAATGAAAAGAGTATAAGAGAAATGCTAAGGCTTCTAACTTCTGAGGTCCAGCTTGCCACGCCAGTGCCGTGCCTCCAGTACTTCACCTTAGTTGGGCCTATGCTCTTGACCCGACGTCATGTCCTATCTATACTTTGTAAGGGCATGGTCAATCCAAGCCAAGGCCGAGTTTAGTTCCAAACTTTTTCTTCGAACTTCTAACTTTTTTATCACATCAAAAATTTTCTACACATATAAACTTTTAACTTTTCCGTCACATCGTTCCAATTTCAACCAAACTTTAAATTTTGGTGTGAACTAAACACACCCTAAGCTATATCTTGTTTTACACAGTGCAGAGTAGCTCGAAGGGATAGCCCAACTTATCATGTCAACCCATGTTATTTTCTATTTAAGCCCTTGTGTTTTTTAGATTATTTACATGTAAGTACAAATTTTGCACTTGGCACCCTGAAATCTAGAGAAAAAAGAAATCCAACCCCTCCCCAATCCTCTCCCTCACTCGTTCAACCCGTGTCAGCCGCCTCCGCCTCTCCTCTCCCCTCCTAAGGGGATGAGGACACGGACAAAGCCGACGGCAGTGTCGGCAGAAGAGGAACAAGCTCGGCCTTCTTTAGCCAACGCCACCGTCTCTCCCCTCGCACACCAGCGTCGCCGATTAGCTTCTCCACCGAATCTGCGCTGCCCTTCAAGATCCGGTGCCGTCGCTTCTCCCCCTTCTCTCTTGTCGGTAGATTTGGTGGTGGCTCGGGGCGACGAGGTCAGCTCGGGGCAACGAGGTCCACGGTGGCGGCGGATCGAGACGGCGAGGTCCACCGTGGCGAGAGAATCTACGGGTCCTTCTCCTCCCTCTTCCTCTTCGTCGCGCTCGTTTTCTTCCCCAATCCCATCTCCCGCACCGCCCTTTTCTTGACATTGTTGCTCGGAAGTGCCGCGATCGAGTTAGGCGACGTGCCTTGCATCAAGGTTGCTCGCGGAGTTCTGGGCGGCGGGGACTGGCAGAGTTCCGGGTGACGCGGTGCGGAGATTTGCCAACCCCGCCAATGAGGAGGAGGGACTTGATTTTGGGGAAAGATTGGCTCGGAGTAGCACGCGCTCGACAGTGGGGCCGCCAGAAGTTTCCTTTTCTGGCATGAGGAAACCGTCCAGGTGAAAATTAAGATTATGCCATCTTCAAAAGTAGGTTTTGTCCGAATGCCATTATGCAAAAGGATTTGAATTAACCCTTGATAAAATGCTATTTTGGACAAAATTACCCTCGCTCCTTCCATCTTCCTTCAGCACCATGAATGAACTAAGCGAGCTCCTTCCAATGGTAAAAATTATTAAGTATTTTGCCTAGTACCATCATAAAAATTATTGAGTGGTAAAATATCACTAATCTCGCAAATAATGATATGCAACTCATGTATCTCTGCAATGGTATTCCCTCTGTCCCACCAAATAAGGCACAGTTAAACTTGGTACCAGTCTTCAAAACTAATCTTTGACTTTAAAGTTCTTATATACTATAATATTTATATCAACAAAATCATGATCATATGAAAGTAAATCCAAATGTTAATCTAATGATACTATTTTCATCAAACAAAATAATTACTGGTCAAATATTTAAAGAGTTGAATCTTAGAGTGCATGTGTGCCTTAATTAATGGGCCAGAGAGAGTATTGTTTGAACTATCTTAAATATCCATCACTAGTACTTAGCATCACTGATACATAACTAGTATCAGCACTGATACCTACATGTATCAATACTATTACGTGAGAGGTATCGTTATTGGTACATGGAGATATCGTCTAACATGTATCATCACAGGTACTTTACACATATCACTGATATCAGGTATCATTATGATACTTACAATTTACAAATGTCATGACTAATAAGTATCAACATTGGTACCTACATGAATCGTTACTAGTACCTAATTGGTATAATCACTGGTACATGCAAAATATCAATGGTACCTGACAGATATCATAACTACGGTTATCATCATCGGTAACTGCAGATATCATCATCAGTACATAACGTGCATCATCAATAGTTTTGCGAGTATCAAATACATAACATGGAGGCATCAAGAACCAATTAGAATTTATGAAGAGCAGATGAAAGAGAAGTATACCCATACTAAGAAAGCTAAAGGTCTTCACTTTCCTACCAGCTAGCCCAAGAAAACAAGTTAGCTAGCTCCACCCATTTCTCCAATGAATTAGCCTAGCTGATTGGTGTGCCACTCAATCGAACGGCCCAACGAGGCACTCGACTATAAATGGGTTAGTCTGGTCAGCTAGTACGTGTGGCGCACGAGGTAGGAGGGGTGCGGCACGAGCAAGAGCGATGAGTGAAATGTAAGGAGCCGAGGAGTCCGCGTATATATGCAATATTGGTTATACCGTCGGGGCAGTGTCCCTTTATCTACCTCTTCTGCAAGAAGGCATTATGGAAGCAGTGTCCCTTTGAATTTCCATAATATTATGTCTAGTGTTGGATATTTGGTCATTTTCCTTTAAGAAGGATATTCTCCTACATTTTTATACTTTGTAGGATGAATGGAAGTATCTCTTCCTCAGTTTTTCTTGGTTAAAACATTTGCAAACATTTAATATGTTTTGTTCTTTATTTTAACAAAAATGCTTTAGCTGTTGGGCATTGCCTAGCGGTTTTCTTTTAACATAAATCAAATATATTTAGAACCTAGATTATCCAAATAAAACCATTGCAACAATATTAATGTAGTATCTTTGCTAAGACTCAGAACAAGGTTGTAAACTAATGGAAAACCAGCAATTGCGGAGGGTTTTGGACCTAGATTTTCGTAGCACAAGATGTTTTTAGATAATGGGGGAAAATCCCACCCTTTGCTTCATCAAAGGCTAGAGCTAAATTATTACATATTTCATAGCTAAGATGAGTACACTTTATTCTGTTATATATTACAAATACAGGTGCAACATGTATTAGCCCTAGCATGCCTGCACAAGAAATATACATCAGCCTAGCTAGGTTGCTTTTATTACTCATCGTTACTGGTATTAGGGTTTATATTAACATCATTAGCACTAACAACTTTACTTAATTGATTTCAACCATTCTTAATATGTAGTAATGATATTTAATGGCCATGTCCGCCACCACCCCCGTAACCTGAGCCATGACCTTCTCCATATCCGCCTGTTCCACCGTTGTAACTCCCTCCTCCCCCACCGCCACCCGCACCACCACCTCCACCACCAGGACCACCACCGTAACCATATCCTTTGCCATAGCCTGCACCATACCTGTATCCTGAGGCTCCACCACCTCCTCCACCACCACCGCCGCTGCCACCACCTCCATTTACACCTCCTCCTGAGCCATAACCTTCACCAAAGCCAGATCCATAGCCACCGTTGCCATAGCCAGATCCACCACCACCCCCTCCTCCATGACCTCCACCTCCACCTTGGCCCCCATAATCATAGCCTGAACCATAGCCACCACCATACCCTGAACCCATGCCACCGCTTCCATAGCTGCCGCCACCACCACCTCCGTAGCCACCACCGCCACCACCTCCATTGCCAGAACCATAGCCATAACCCTGGCCGTATGCACCATTGCCTTCTCCTCCTCCGCTGCCATACCCACCTCCACCTCCATAGCCACCTCCGCCAACACCTCCATTGCCAAAACCATATCCTGAACCATAGCCATAACCATGGCCGTATCCACCATTGCCTTCTCCTCCTCCGCTGCCATACCCACCACCTCCACCACCAATACCAGTCACAAAGATTGGGGCCCTTGCGGCAGTAATAAGTTGGGCTGTGAGCAGGAAAAGGAGAGCGACAAGTGAAGTTTTGGTGTTAGACATTGGGATCGTAGGACGCATGTATTTAGTTTCCTTTCTGTCCAATTTGATGTGGTGAGAGAAACCTTGAGATAGGTTGGATGTATTTATAGGCACCTCTCTTACATATATTGCATATGTAATTCAATTGGAGAGTGCAATAATACTACATGAATATGTATATTTATTTTTCTGATGATAACTGAAATAATTAACGTGGTAATGCTAGCAGAACTACACCTGCTACGCATATCAACAAATCGAGCCTGTCCTCGTCTTACCTAACGCCGGCCACTTAGTTTGGATCTGAATCTAAATATTTTGGCATAATACATATATACTAATTGACTTTGAGCACGTACGGTTGGCAACATACAATTAATAATCGAGTTCCAGGATTGAGTGAGTGTGGTTAATTAATACTCCAGGTGTTATGATTATTAGTATGTGGCGGTCGACTCCACTGATGCTATACTCCATATAGTACTAGCTAGTGGGGTGCAGTGGGTGGTTGTCGCAGCAGCTGGTAGTAGCGTACATCGTTACTGCGAGCTAGCTAGCACCTGGTTGGTCACCAATGGCAATGACCATTCATCAGCTGGTTGGAGTACAATTTCGTGTTTGTCAGCTGACCTATTTTTGTTAATTGAGGTTCGTTTTGAGACGCTATATCATCAGATCATAGAGTTATCTTGACATGACAAAACCATAACGAAAATAGAAAAAACCGATAAACATTTTCCTATCAACCATAAGCTTGCATATATAGTTCCCTTCTCTTCTGTAGTTGTAAATTACAGAGAATTCTACTCATGACTAGTTTATCGAACCAAAAACATCTTTCACTATAGAGAAGCAGCAAACGACCAACTCATTGAGATTAATACTTACTAATTAAGAACATGCAGGAGACGATTTTTTACACCATTAAGCTCGCTTAGGCAAACGGATGCAGCTGGTGACGGATAGCTACAGTACTAATTAACAAGATGACGGATCTACTGGACTAGTGGGGGCGTCTTCGGCTGAGGCTGCATATGCATGTGATGAGGGCATACTCTCTCTGGCTCCCCTTTGGACCATAGGTTCCACAGTTCTCCTCTTTTCCACCCAAGTGATATCAGCGCACCTGACAGACATATATAAAGAGGTTAGTTCAATCCATAAACTCATTAGGCTCCAGGGGGAGAGATAGGTTAGGTAGTTAATTACCAAGTGTGAAGGGCACTATGTAGAGAAGTGCAGGTTGGCCATGTCCGTCCATAAGGTTCAAGGCGACATATGTAATAAGGAGTCCTTGATGTGGGCAAAAAGTTCAGCAAATTAATTCCTCACAGCACATAATAGCTTTAATACAATAGCTTAAATAAGACGGATGCACAGATAAATGCCTCTTTTTTTTGTCTCAAGTAATAGTTGCGTGGACCAGCGCTGTAACTTACCAGAACCATAGGCCACCATTGACCACAAAAAGTAACCAGTTTGCAAGCTTTTCTTGGCAGCCCAATCATATCTGGAAAAAGATTAATATTTTGAAAAAATACTGTTAGCAGTCATATCTCTAACATGCTTGCTTGTATCCACATGTAAGAATAGACCTTTTCTTTTTCTTTGCGAGACTAACCTTAATGCAAATGCAACTAACAGCCCAGGTAGAAGGATGTCACCGAATCCAATGATGCTGTATCCTCCCCATGGATCAAACATTCGTGGAATTTTTAGTAACATGGGGACGCCGTCTTCATCAGTCTTGTCACCACGAGCTACCTTTGAGAAGCACACCAGCATAACCAACTTAGCTTAAACAATGAGATCACCAATTACCAGAAGTCTAGAATAAATTTCCACAAAACTTACCACGATCATCACGCTCTCATGAAACCATCTCTTGGAGACAAACACCCAGAAGATGTCATAAAAGAAGGCACAGCTGAGGAGAACTGAACCCACCTGTTCATGGCCTCAGTTACAAAGATAACTTGAACAACCACGCTAAAGTAAAATGAAAACTTGCAATGGAGCTTAACATCCATCATGTAGAAAGTCAAAAGTCAAGAGCAGCTAGATTACCTTGAGGTTAGGTACTCTAACAATTTGGATAACAGTAATTATCAGTGCAATACCCTGACAATACAAAGCCCTGATGTCAATTGATGTAGCAGTTGGTTACATTAGAACTCATTTAAAATACTACAGGTCTACAGCTAGTTGCACGCACAAGGATATCTTGTCCAATCCAGGCATAGGTGAAATGACGGTGAACAGCCCAAAGAACAGCAAATACAATGCAAAATGGGGAAACTGCAAGAGTAAGGTATGAAACAGCTCCAAAGAATGGCACTTTAAAAAAGGATTCTGAAGCAGCTCTAAACCACCTGGAAGATTCAATCACTTTCAGTCAGTAATAATAAAATTCATCAGCTGAGGAGTTAAGAACAAATTCTTGATTCAAATAAACTCTGACGCAGCTTCACTATACCTTGATAATAGAGCCACTAGGCATGTTTGCAGGCCCTGCATATGCAAATATAAACAACAGCATTAGTTTAAGGAAGAAAAAGCAGCGAGGTTGCTTAAGCGGCAGTTTGCATAACAAGCTGGCAAAACAATATTAGTTTCACTGCAGTATTCACTGACTATCCTACCTAGTCACTTAACAACAGTACTTGTACTATTAATAAAGACAAAGAGGAACTGATACTATTTACTGTTTAAGCAGCAGAAACTTTTTAAGTTACTGAAAGGAAAGTAAAGTCAGATGAAACCACACCTCAACACCACCGACGCAAAAAATTACCACCAGTAGCTCCACAAACCAGGAAGACATCATCTTGTAAAGCATTATTAAGAAGCATGACGCGACCACTACAAACATTATGGCTGATGCCACATTGATATCTATCATGCCACTAGAACTTCCATTCTCAACATTTAGTAAAACTTCACGTCCGTCCTTTACAATTAGTGCATTTGTCAGTCCTCCATTACAGGTAGAATAGGTGAAAGCTAAGTGTCATGGCATTAACGGATCAGAACCTTGAGGAGCTTCTCTTGTTCACAAAGTGCTTCTCTAGCACTCCATGCGGACCAGTATGATGCACAAAGGACAGTACCAACAGCCATAAGCCAAAGGAATACCTCTGCAGTATCAACTACAGGACGATCTGGAGAGTATTGCTGCACAGAAACTAAGGGAAGATACATGGTTAAGTCACTAAGATATTTTAGATTGAACAAATAGCCAGATTCCATGCCAAAGAGAATTAAAAAAAACATTCTCTCGCATGAAAATGGAAGTATAGGTGCCCACAGTGAGTTAACGAATTACCTGAGTTACCACTGGTAAGAACCGTATGTAAAGCGAAGCCAGCATCTCTTGGAAGAAGAACTGCAGGTATATTTATATCAAGATCTGTTTCATTCTTTTCACAGACCATCTTGTACAGCTCTGCGAGATAGAAGCATCACATAATTCACAGGTGAACCTTTTATATTAGTCAACAAATGTAATTTGTAACAGAGGACTTCAAATATAAATGCATGTGCTCAATTGCTCATAACCATAAATAGGCACTTTCAAAACAAACAAGCAAGAGAAGAGGTTTTGGGGTGGGGGTAATATAAAAAACTAAATACTGGATGCCACCACATTCTACACTTAATGTGATCAAAGAACAAAAACAAGAATGTGAAATCAATAGTAATAAAAAATAAAAGTGCATACATGAACATTCGCAATTAGAAAGTGCAACGCATAGATAGGTACATACCATAAGGGCCAAACTCAGTTAGAAAGATAAAATGAGCTTAGTGGAAGCAAAAAAAAAAGTGTTATGCGCAAGGTATGGGAAACAATAGTTGCATGAGAGCTTTCAGAAAATCCTAGAGTCATGTTAGATAGGAAAATTGAACTTTGTGGCAATAAAAAGGTGATAAATGCAAGGGATGGGAAATTATGAGTCATTCTAAGTTCTGACAAACAAGGATACACCTCAAATAATTCCCACAAACAAGGGTACACCTTAATAGTTACATGAGGAGTTACCGAAGGAACATAGCAAGAATCATATGTAACATCGTACACCAAGAAAGATCATAACTTACAGATAGAAAGATAACATACCATGGACATGGTTTATGATTATTATACCAGAAGCACCAGCAGCTTCTGCAAACTTTGCTTTTTTCGTGAACTTGCATTTCCCTCTTTGGACTAGAAGAATATCTCCAGAAACCTATAAAGTGGAGGATGCAATCACAAAGATACAAAAGAGAGGGAGAATGAAAATAACTGTAACTTATTCCAGAAGAGAAACCTTTTCTTTTGGAGAAGTGCAACAATCAATAGGATCTGCCAACATAAGTCTAGTTCGATTTGCATGTTTCTCCTTGGACACTATTTGCGGGCCAAACCGAGCACCAACACCAACATACTCATCATCCTCTTTGCCGTTGACCCAACTTTGCACTTTGACCTTAATTTAATGGGACAGAAGACAAAATGATCAGAGAGAGTACTGACCAGAAAAGAAAATTATGCAAGTACAACATAATTTATGTTTCACATTGTACAGGACTAATACAGGTGGTGTGCAACACACGAACTACTGGAATTAATTGAGACTTAATACAGAAATTGATTCAATTCAAAAGGACATGTGGTGCAGAGAACTAGATATAGGCCAAATGGCAGTGAGAGCCGTGAGCTCCTCCTAGAACATGAGTTGTGCGTTTTAAAATATTTTTAGTTAGAGTATGGGTATTGATACTCTAACACTATGCGGTGCACTTTGTGTTTTCGCTATTATTTCACTTGTGAGTTGCAACACACGACTGTGGTGCAGGAAGCTATGTTGCATTGTCTTTTGCGTGCACATGCAAGGATGTCATATCACCAACAATTTCAACATGAATTCATCTCCATGAACTTCCAACTTGTCCAAGGTACATACTGCCTACCAGTCCCCTCCATTCGCCTTGCAGCGAAAGAGAGCGGTGTTGTGTAACCTCTGATGGTAACTTGATGGCCTGCTCGGAACATTAGTGATCTAATTTCTAGGGAGTGTACTATATGCCTTGCTTGCTGCCACATCACTCCATCAACAACTTCAATATCCACATTGCACAGCCACAAAGAGTCTCAATAGGCTATGGTTATGTTTTGTGTATTTATGCTGCACGACCTAGAATGATGGTTAGTCTTTAGTCTGTAGTACTAGCACGCATTCTGTTTCCTGTTAGTCTATCATTTTGTAGGCATGGTTATCTGTATGAAACTGAATTAATAAGGTCCATGTTAATTTTTACCAACAAGAAACTGATTGCGCCTAGAGATGTAGACAGCTTGGTAAGATGATCACAGAAACCAAAAAAAAATATAGGAGCAAGTGGAATACAGGCAAATTTACACATAATGAACCAGTGGATTAGAAGTAGAACCGGGTTGGATGCAATAAGTCGTGGTGGTAGAATGCGTATCCAGTGATGCCAAGATGCATATGTAGCTTGAGATTGCTACTGTGTAACTGGTTCAACAGTCGGGTCAGTTAAGAAATACTCCAGATTAGCTCTAGCTATGAACCTGAGTGAAGCAGAGCAATAGGGTACAGTACTAGGGTAGGATTAGGAAGCAGGCTGACCGCAGCCTACCCTAGAGTCCTCACTGAAATTGCTAAGGTCGGTGGCGGTGGGTGAATGGAATCCAGAGAGGAAGAAAGAGAAAGAGGAATTGGAAAGCAGCCCAACCAGGATGAAGTCGTTGGAGCATCCTGGAATCTTGGGGGCCTCGTCGTCGTGGTGAACGATGTCGCCGCCGGCCGCAGCCCCAGCGAGCGCCGACGCCATCAACAGCGCAAAAACCGCGGCGGTGGCGGCGGCCATCTCACTCTACCCTGCCCGCCGATGCCGATCTGTCGTGTCGATCACACACAGATCCTTTTCCTCTTCCACCCAGACCCAGACCCACACCCACACCCAGCTTAATTTGCACTCTAGTCCCTGCCCCTTCCTGTGCTTCTTGGCCTTCCCCAATTTCTTCAAAATCACTGCTACCTCCGTTCCAAAATAATTACAGTCGTAGATTTCCGTGTCTAACGTTTTACCCTTCGTCTTATCTAAAATATTTTTTTTATTTATCGTTGGAGATGCATTAATATTTTCTTCTCTTCCGTCCCGGTTAACATGATCTTATTGTGCCATGGGCCACGCCCCCTCTCCCTACGCGTTCTTCTTTCCCTCTATTTCTATCGTCATCGTCTTGCTCCCGTCTTTAGCTCTCGTGAGAATCTCCATACCTTCTCTCCTTCTTCGTCTCCAACAGCTCCGTTGCCCAATTCGTCACCGATATCCACCTCCTAACCACTCAAGCCTGCCACCACATTGCCCGCCTTGCCTCCCCGCTACACGCGTAGCCTATCATCAGACTTTTAATTCTCATAGCTTCCCTCTAATGCCATTTCCTTTCATCCAGCCCATTGCCCCATGGGTGGACCAATTGTGGGAAATGTTTTAGCAAACCATATGCAACGTGGAAGTTAGTTGTGTTTAATCAAAGGATCTGAGATAGTTGCATCTTCCATACTTCCATTGACTAAGAGAAAGCCATTTTGGCTATTCTGCCATTGTTTTGATTATAGGTGTAAAATCAAACAAGCTTAAAATGAACAGATAATAATAATGTAGTTAGTTGGAGAAAGGCTGTTGAGTTTGGCGGTATACTGACAGACACTCTGCTTCTGTAGAGGCCCAGCGTGTTGAAAGGTTGAATGTGCTTGAAACCAATCCGAATTCCTGATCTATCTAATACATAGGAAATTAAAGCATATGTTAAATTAATACGTTTAACTGGTTTCCATGGCAGGCAGCATCAGAATCTAAGCACAGTTGACTTACAAGAGAATTAAGCACAACACAAACATACATTTTGGTGGGGGTAGTACAATGCGAGTCCCCTAACTACACTTAATCAAGCAGTGAGCACACGGGTCTAGCAACCTGAATCAGGTTTATTAAGGTTTTCCATGCTTACAAACGTATAGTCGCACACTAATTGCTAGACCCCGAATGTTACCATTAGCTTTTCATCAGTTCACAGTGCACCCCTTGAGCATTCTTAACATATCAAAGGTTCAGCTACTTCATATCCATCTCCCCTGAGCCCTCCCTCAATCTTGGGCTGCATCGCTTCCTTCCCCAAGTGCTTCTTTCTCCTTTTGTTGTTCCACTGCTCCAGAAATAGTTCAACATATGCGTAAATAAACAAACCAAGCATGCATACCAGACACCTAACAAAATGATGAGCTAAATGGACGGATCACACAAGTTTCTGCAATCTCACAATACTCACATGCAATCTCAGCCAGTGCTTTCTGCGTGCGCTTCTCAAGTTTGTCCATCCTCTTCTGCACATCTCTTTTCAGATCCCAATTTGGATTCTTTGGAGCTATGTTTCCAAAGGGGTTCTGCACAAGAATAAATAATGTTGACAGTATTGTTGCTATGTATGGCATTTGGTAAGTGTGTTTATACAAATAATACCACAATACTAGTACCTCAACTTGCTTTGGCTCTGTAGTTTCAGCAGAAATTGGATCCTCAAACTTTGGGAGGGACACTGGAGCCACCTTACCACCCCGAAGTTGCTCATCATGAGGAAGGTAGTTTCTGAACTTCATGGCTGGCATATCACTGCATCAGAAACATTGCAGAGCTATGAATAGTATACTATACAGCAAATAATAAGGCCAGCAAGCCACCCAACATAATAAGAAGCAAATTTAGAGCCTATGGTCAAGCCAATACTCAAAGGAACTTTTATCTAAACAACCTGCCATGTAAGTTATCCACCGACCGATTTTAACAGGTCTAAACATCATGCCTTTGCAATTAAAATTATAACTAGTTACATCCAATTAAGTTTGCACCAGAATCACATGCATGGAATTCAGTGAATGACTAGAGGATGTCAGAATGATTGATTACATACAGAGTATACAATGCAAATATGAGTGGGTATGTGATGCGCTCCTTGCTCAAGTATGTTGTGTTCCAGGTGAACTCACCCATCATTTTGAACCTCCTCAGATTCGTCAGTGGGGTTAATGTTCTCCTTTGAGGCCTCCTCAGGTGCGTCCAGAGGAGCTGGTAAAGTTGGATGCTCCGCTTGTTCTGGTGCTGTCTCACGGTTCCCATTTCTGAATGCAGTCAATGAGCATGGCAATCAGATACATGAACCAGGTCAAGCGACAAAGACATACATTTGCTTAAGTTTATCAGTTATTATAATTTTTAGAGCAGCAAACTAGTTAGGTGTAAATATGATCAAAGTATGACGACATCATGGATAAAAAGCATGATGGCAAGGGGCAGCTGGTTGCTAGTACGTTTCCATTTTGTTCAAGTGTTGAAAGGAATGAGGATGCAGCAGCAGAGTGGTTCAATTGAGATACAGTTGATGTTAGGAAAACAAATAAAATGAGAGAGAGATAAGAGCAAGCAAAAAATGGCATATGTAGTAGTTGGGGTTTGCCAAGACAAGCGAGTATTGAGTTGCATGCACCATGCAACGACCAGTTCAACCCAAAAGCTTAAGCTGATGAGAAAAGGCGGGCAATTCACTTTATATTCCAACCTCCCCCCCCCCCCCTCTTTTACGCGAGGCCCCCTCAAGCCTCTATCGTGGAATAGAAGTGGGCTGCAATTTTTATTTAATTGCGCGCCAGCCAGGATTCAAACTCGAGACCTCTGGCTCTGATACCATATTGAGCTGCATGCACTGACCAGTTCAACTCAAAAGCTTAAGCTGATGAGGAAAGACGGGCAATTCACTTTATATTCCAACAGCGAGTGATAGTCATGCATGCAGATATCGATTTGTAGAGCAAAGGAGATTGTTGTAGGCTTATGGCTTGGCAGTACATGTAAAATTAGGGTAAGTGGGAATTTTTTTTCAGCTGTAAAAGAAGCACAGTATAGAATGTCTTGACAGTAAATCTATAGGATTTGGATTTGATTAGTAGTACTATACTAGTTTGATACGCCCTAACTAGAAAAGGAGCGCAAGCAATATACTAGATAGATACAGATATACTAGCAGGGAAGAAAAATGAAGAAATAATAATAATAGTAATGAGACAAGAAAATAGAAGATGAATCACTACTCTACTACGAGTGGGACTGGGGAGTAGAGATTGGTTTACTGGTGGTGTTGTCCTTGTCCGGCGGCGGCGGGGTCGGGGGTGGAGAGGAGGTCCTTGGCAGCGCGAAGGGCACGCAAGCGCTCGCGGCGGGCGGCAGCGTCTTCCATATCGGAGCCGGAGGGAATCGATCTGTGTCTGTGGGCGGCGGCGCGACGGCGAGGCGAGGTCAGGCGGCGGCGAGGCGAGCTCTGACGTGCGTGGAAGGGAAGACGAATCCGACGGAGATATATTGATGGGCTTGTGTTGGGCTGGATCAAATTTTTCTTCTTCTTTTTAAAATTTAAACATATTTTTTTAAAAGAAATTTAATTTATTTATTTAAATGGGGAATAAGTCCACCTGGACTTCCTTAACTAGTGGCCGAATATGTTTCGTATACCTAAATTACAATATCGGATATGTTGACCCTCTAACTATTAAACCGGTGTAATTTGACTCTTAACGATTTTGGAGGACGGTTTCGCTGATGTGGCATTTTGACCTAGTCTAACTAGCTAGGTCAGCACGCGGGGCCTGCACGTCAATGACCCTTATCTTTCTTGTCTTCCTTCCCTTTCCCCTCCTCACTTTTCCTCTCCATGGGAAGCAACAGGGCAGTGATGTGACGCTGTGACGGCAAGCCGTGTCGGTGCAGTCCTCCAAGTGCTTGCCCATGGTGAACCCTCGCCATCGAGTCCGTCAGCCGACCACGATGGGGGAGAAGACAACATGGAGTGGCAACGAGGCTCCCCTTCCACGCAACGGGACGGTGGCGGTCGGCATTGGTGAGGCTAGCCTTAAGGCCCTCGTTGCTAGGGTTGAGAGCGAGGCCCTTCTATAGATGGCCAAGAGGCCCGAGGCCCGAGGCCCGACGGCCCGGCCCATGGCACGGCATTTTGGCCCGGCCCAAGCACGGCACGGCCCGACGGAGGTATGGGCCGTGCCGGCCCCGCCCGACCACCGGGTCGTGCCTGGGCCCCTCCACTGGCATGTTGCGCCGGCCCGGCACGATCGGTCGGCCCGGCATGATGGGCCGGCAGCTAGGCCCGATACACAAAAAAATAGGGGAGTAAAAATAGACATATTATATACCATGGACGAAAGAATAGGGATCTAAAATAGACTTTTTTTTATCTATACATATGTCAGCTGAAGAGGAGGGACAGAAAATAGACTTATTTTAGCTATACATATGTCAGCCCAAAGAGGAGGGAGGGAAAATAGACTTTATTTTAGCTATACATATGAAATAGCCCAAAGAGGAGGGACGAAATATAGACTTATTTTAAAAAGGCCCGATGGGCCACCCATGCCTTCGGGCCGGCACGGCCGACAGCTGGTGGGCCGTGTCTGGGCGGGAGGTGCAGCCCATGGGCCGGCACGGCCCGGCACGAAGTGCCTATCGGGCCGTGCCGGCCCGATGGCTGCTGGGCCGTGCCCTGCCGTGCCTGGGCCGGGCCAGGCCGGGCGAGCCCTTTGGCCATCCATAGGCCCTTCTCATAGGCTACGATGGCACTTGCGGCGTCACCGAGGGACAAGGTGGATGGCAGGAGTATCCCTTTGCCTAGTCAGGCTTCAACTCGATAGTCTTCTCGGCATTGACGAGCACCTTAGAGTTGTGGTGGACCAAGGCGAGCGCGATGGAGCGGTTGGAGTAGAGAGCAGGGTCCCCCAGGTCGGAGCATCGTGGGTTGGTGAAGTGTCGCGCCACCTCCTAAAAAGCGGCTGGCTGAGAAGATCGTATTACCCTTCGCCTTCGCCTCGTCGGCCATTACACGCGGCAGCGGCCCTCATGGACCCTTTTTGGAAGCTTCTGGAAGGGGTCCAAGAGGGCCTACCTCCACGGCTGCACGAGCTCTACCTCAGTGGCGGCCACCACCCTAGGGTCGTGGTTGCACCGCCCTCTTGGCCACCTCCGAGCAAATCCGACCAAGGAAGAGGCAGCAACCATCATCCTCACAACTCATAGCTGTCACTGCAGTATTTTCTTGAGTTCAAGCTCGTTGGGGAGAGGGGCAGCCGTGTGACAGTGGTAGGGAGTGTCATCGCCGACGACGGGTCCGTACGAGCCTGCCATCGACCCATCGTCTGCTCGCTATGGCGGCAGCATGGGGTCACGTTGGCCTCTCCACGCCACATAAAGTAAAGAGGAAAGAAAGGGAGAAGAGAGGAGAAAGAAGAAGTTGCGCTGACATGTAGGATGACTCAACAGGTTGGACCAAGTCAAATTGCCACGTCAGTCCTCCAAAACCGCCGAGGGAGTTAAACTACACAGTTTTAATAGTTGAGGGACGGTCGAAATGTCCGATATTGCAGTTTCAGGAGACAGATCAGATCAGAATCGGCCACTAGTTAAGGGAGTCAAAGTGGACTACAGATTGGCCCAGCTCAGCTCAGCCCAGCCCAGTTAGGGTGGGTGGAGTAAATAATAATATAATAATAAAAAAAGTCGTAGGACACGAGACGACACTATGCACCTCGGCCGCATCGCGATCCAACTCCACGCCTCCGCGCCGCTTCTCTTCAGCCGCCGTGCAACTGCAACTGCACTTGTCCTCCCACATTCGCGGCGGGCCGCCTTCGCCATGGCCGCCACGCCGCCGGTGGCCAGGAAGGTGCCGCGGGAACTCGCCCAGCACGGCGACGTCCGCGTGGACAACTACTACTGGCTCCGCGACGACTCCCGCTCCCACCCCGACGTCCTCGCCCACCTCCGTGCCGAGAATCTCTACACCGCCACCATCATGTCTGGTATGCTTCCAATCCCCTCCCTTACTAGTTTTCGAGTACCTAATCATATCCTGCTAGATCGATCAATCTTCCTCCTCCTTAGCCGCTGTTGCTTTCACTCCCAAATTTCAATCTTCTACACACTGCGCTTGCTGCATTTTGATAAGTACTACCAAGGATTTTATATAGAATAGCAGCTAGCTATTGAGTACCCCCTCAGTCAAACGCTGGTCGCTTCTTGGTCAACCCGCCTGCTGACTTGCTACAATCCCATCTTGGTTGTTTCTACTGTCGGTTGTGTTTGCAAGAGTGCAGTAGTAAGGACTATAAGTTTCGGCAATTTCTTGATGGTAACAACCAACAACTTTCCATGGGAGAAAAACCAGCGGATGGTTTTCTATAGGAGGACGAGGTGCGATCAGGGGTGCGCCTATGTGAGGTGGGGGAGGGAAGGGGATGGGCGTGCGTGTGCTCGGATCGGAAACATTGGGAGCACGATGGTAGACCCACGTAGGGAATGGGACGGGAATAAGAACATGGATATCAGACAACCAACCACCTTACTTAAAACTAATCAAATCATGTTCAATCAAGGTCAAACCCCTAAGTGGACGCATCATCCATCTTGTGAAAATTGTGCAGTAACACTAGTGCTTGAACACAATAACAACCTATACATTTTGTACTAACTGAGCGTGTTACTACAATTCTATGATAGCGTTACTGCGAAAAGAGAGGGGAGTATGTAGATGGAGGGAAGCTCTGGTTTTCTTCAGGAGAGGGAGGGAGGCTGGTTTTCATGGGAAGAGAGAGATCGAGAGAGGAGAGAGCAGATTGACCGTGAGGGGGAGAGAGACCAGGATTACATTTACTTTGTTACTGCACACTAGTTATATTGTTACTTTATTTATTTCACTATGTTACTACGGGGTTGTAGTAACACATAGTAGTAGTATAATTGGCGGTAACGTGTGAGAGTAAATACTATAGTTTAGGACTTGTTAGTTGGTGCACACGGGGATTAAATGGCAGTGTGTCTCATGTTGCGGCAATAATATATAATTCACATGGTGATGTTACTATAGTTGAGTCTACTACAGATATGCGATAGTGCAGTAACATGGTTTGAAGTGTACAATAACAACCATCACAGTGTAGTTACTACATGTTGTGTCAAATATTACAGCGATTAGCACGTACCGTATGAATGGAGGAGTTAAAATTTCACTAACAATCATCTAGCAGAAGTGATCATAATAGGTTAGTGCTAGTGGACTTGAGTTGAAGGTCAATTCCCTTGGATGCAAATTTTTAATTTGTTTTTTCTCTCCCAATAGAAAATAATCTTGGAATGGGAGGGACAGAGAGGTCGTGAGAGAGGGGAGTGTGCGTGATTGAGGGAGGGATCAGGGGAAAGGCGCACGGGATCGGAGGAGAGGGAAGTGGGCTCGGGAGGGAGAGGCGGGCCCGCCAGGCATATCGGGGGAGAGGCGGAAGCGCGCGCAGGAGAGGTGGGCCGGCCGTGCGCGCTCGCGGGGCGATCGGGAGGGAGAGGCGGGCCCGGGTGCGCTCGAGCAACGTGAGATTGGGAGGGAGATGTGCAGTCCAGGGAGGGAGGAGGGTACAGAATAGTTGTGGGTGTAAAATAGTTATCAGGAGGGAGATGGATGGATGTATGGGTTCATTATATTTTCTGTTTCTCTCTCTTGTGGTGACTTTTGTGCTGACCACCAGTGACTCTCTTTAGATGTCAAGAACCTCGAGGATGAAATATATGCTGAAATTAGAGCAAGAATCAAGGAAGATGATATAGGAGCGCCTCTTCGCAAAGGCCAGTATTACTACTATAACAGAACACTGACTGGCAAGGAGTATGTGCAACACTGCAGGCGTCTCGTGCCAACTGATGCTCCTGTTACAGTCTATGATGTCATGCCCACAGGACCCAATGCTCCTCATGAGCATATTATTTTGGATGAGAATGTAAAGGCCGAGGGCCATGACTACTATAGCATTGGGGCTTTCAAGGTATATCTTCCTCCTCTTGTGTGTAAGAGACTCATTACTCCTCCTATGCATGTGCCTCTACAACCTCTCTTATATTCATTTCAGGTCAGTCCTAATGGTAAGCTAGTTGCTTATGCACAAGACACTAAAGGTGATGAAATTTACACTGTTTATGTTATTGATGCGGAGAGTGGAAAATTTGTTGGCCAACCACTTGAAGGAATTACTTCTGACATTGAGTGGGCTGGTGATGACCACCTTGTTTACATAACAATGGACACCATTCTCCGCCCAGATAAAGTGTGTGAGCTCTTCTTCTCACCCCTACATGACATTTGTCTTGGTACAAGGTGTATATACAAGGGAACATAATAAAAATAAGGAAATATCGTCAGTTCACTAACAAATTGCATTTCTCTAGAAATAATTTTTAGAAGTCTTCGTTTCATTATCATATTAGTGCTACTACCCAGGTCGTCATTGCTCTCTCAAGCTATTCATTGCACAACTGTGCGAAATATCGTCAGTTCACTA